CGGCGCGCGCACTGTCGCGCCCTCGGTCACCGCCAGCGACTCGGAGGCCAAGGAGAGGGAGCTCCGCGCGGCCGCGACGGAGGTCCACGACGTCTTCAGCTGGGCGCACCTCAACTACACCGTCCCCGTCGGCAAGGGCGAGACGCGGCAACTGCTCGAAGACGTCTCGGGCTACGTCCGCCCCGGGCGGCTGACCGCGCTCATGGGCGAGTCCGGCGCGGGCAAGACGACGCTCCTCAACGTCCTCGCCGAGCGCACCGCCGGCGGCGTCGTCTCCGGGGACCGGCTCATGAACGGCCACCCGCTCCCGCGCGACTTCCAGGCGCACACGGGCTACTGCCAGCAGATGGACACGCACCTGCACACGGCGACGGTGCGGGAGGCGCTGCTGTTCTCGGCGTGCCTCCGGCAGCCGCGGGAGGTGCCGCTCGCGGAGAAGGCGGCGTACGCGGAGACGGTGCTGCGGATGTGCGGGCTCGCGGCGCACGCGGACGCGGTCGTCGGCTCGCTCGGGGTCGAGCACCGGAAGCGGACGACGATCGCGGTCGAGCTCGTCGCGCGGCCGTCGCTCATCTTCCTGGACGAGCCGACGTCGGGCCTGGACTCGCAGAGCGCGTGGGCGATCACGAGCTTCCTCCGCGAGCTCGCGGACGCGGGCCAGGCGATCGTCTGCACGATCCACCAGCCGTCCGCGGAGCTGTTCCAGGTATTCGACCGGCTGCTCCTCCTCAAGAAGGGCGGCCAGACGGTCTACTTTGGCGACATCGGCCGCCGGTCGAGCACGCTCATCGAGTATTTGAGCGCAACGGCGCGCGCCACTGCGGAGACGCTGAGAACCCGTGAGTTGGCTTTCTGCCTCGTGGCGCTAGTGTGGGTATGCTGACGGAGGGGCTTTGCGCAGGGCTGAGTACATCCTCGAGGCTATTGGCGCCGGGGCGACCGCGACTACGGACATCGACTGGTACAAGGCGTGGCGCAACTCGCCCGAGGCGGTCCATGTCCAGGAGGAGCTCGGCGCGATCCAGGAGGAGGGCCGGGCAAAGGGCCCGGTGCAGGTCCGCCTGCACGGCGAATACCCGACGACGTGGCTCTACCAGATGGCGATGCTACTCCGCCGCGACGCCTCTGCGCATTGGCGCGACCCGGTCTACCTGATCGCCAAGATCTCGCTCAATGTCGCGGCGGCGCTCCTCATCGGCTTCACGTTCTTCCAGGCCAACACGACCATCCAGGGCACGCAGAACCACCTCTTCGTACGTCTCTTCCGTGCGCTCGCGCGCTTGCTGTTCGCTGACGGCCTGCGCGCAGGCGATCTTCATGTCCATGATCATCTCCGTCCCGCTCGCGAACCAGCTCCAGGTCGCGTTCATCGACATGCGCAACATCTTCGAGGTGCGCGAGCGCCACAGCCGGATGTACAGCTGGACCGCGCTCGTCACGTCGCAGATCCTGGTCGAGATCCCGTGGAACATCCTCGGCTCGTCGCTCTACTTCCTGTGCTGGTACTGGACCGTCGGCTTCCCGACCGACCGCGCCGGGTTCACGTACTTCATGATGGGCGTCTGGTTCCCGCTCTACTACACGACCATCGGCCAGGCCGTCGCGGCGATGGCGCCGAACGCGGAGATCGCGGCGCTGCTGTTCTCGTTCCTCTTCTCCTTCGTCCTCACTTTGTGCGTCTCTCTTCCCTTCTTGCGTACACTCCGTGCCTTAACGCTTACCCCGTTCCACAGCAACGGTGTACTGCAGCCGTTCGGCCAGCTTGGGTGGTGGCAGTGGATGTACCGCCTCTCGCCGTACACTTACCTGATCGAGGCGCTCCTCGGACAGGCGCTCGGCAAGATGGACATCCAGTGCTCCCCGGTCGAGTTTGTGACGATCACGCCGCCCGCGGGGCAGATGTGCGGGACGTACATGGGCCCGTGGATCTCCACCGCGGGCGGGTACGTCGCGGACTCGAACGCGACGGACGCGTGCCAGTACTGCACATTCGCCACGACGGACGCGTTCCTCGAGACGAGCTTCAACATCTTCTACGGCCACCACTGGCGCAACATGGGCATCTTCGTGGCGTTCATCGTCTTCAACGTGAGTTCCACTTCTCTTCCTTGTTCGTTGCTTGCTTACATTGATTGGCTGTCGCAGACGTTCGCCGTCTTCGCGTTCACCTACATCTTCCGCGTGCGCAAGGGCAGCCTCTTCAGCTTCCTTAAACACAGCTAATCTCGACGACCATATCCTCACGCGCATCTCATCGTCCCGCTTCGCTGTAATTTACGTCACTTATGCCCCTTCTTGCTTTCTTCGCTCCCCGGTTTACCCTCACGACGCATTGCCTCGCCTGACAACTAGACTCACTCACACCCTCACGCGTATCTTGTTTATAGACCGTCTCGATTCCCGAATGAACTCCTCGCCTTGGTTATCAGAGCATGTGTAGCATTGTGGCCCCTGGGAATGGCCCATATGACAATAATTACATCCACCTGTACGTTAGACTCGCTCTTGGATAAATACAATCGTCGAACCGTGCGATGCCCATGTATTCTCGCTGTGCTGACCCTCGCGCACCGCCCTCGGCGGCCGGATAGAAGGGTGCGCTCACATCGGAGCCAACGCAGCGTTCAAGTGAAAGGCACCCCAGCATATCCGAACCCGCACACGCACTCCGCTCGGTGCGTCCAAGGAACACCCAACGAGCTCCTCGCCACCTTCGGCATGGCACTCTGCTGCGCCGCGCCGTCCTCGAACATGCCCATCTGGCGTTGCGACGGCGTTCACGCAGCACCATCGCCGACGACACGGTGTAGCGGCGCGGATACATCCCCGCCGCGGCCACCGTCCTCTCGAACGTCTGGTGAGTGGTACGCGTGCGGCGACTCAAGTTCTATCAGAGTCACCCGGAATGTAAGCGGACCCTTCTCGACCGTGCGCTGGCGGGGCTTCCCAAAAGGGTCTGCGCCGGTCTGTTCATCGACGCCGCGTTGCTCCTCCACATCTCCGCGCCGCTCGACGAGGGGGAGAGCCTATTGAAGTCGAAACCTCTGTACCGCTTCAGGTCAATCCAGCGATCAGAACAGTTTACGTAAAAGTTCTTCTAGGATAGAGGAGAGCAGAGTACATGCATGTGCGGTGCGACGACGGTGGGGGGTAGTGGGGGCTATACTGTAATACGAGGGAGAGTGCCAGATTCGATGCTGCTGATTGATCAAGGAGTGTCCGTGCTGTCCATACTAAACGAAGAATCCTCAGACTATAGTGCGGTGGATGTACCTAGGGCGTGGCGTAGATGGGTGGGGGCAAAAGCGGAGGGGGGCGTCTGAGCGTCCGAGCTGCGAGGTGGGGGAGGTGTTCGTATAGTCGTAAGGGATCACAAAGTCCGAAAGGAAAGAGAAGAGTACTAAAAGCCGACGCTCAGCCCGCGCGGGAGAGCAGTACGCGGTCGATGGCGTCGTTGATGACCCGCTTGCGCGAGGACAGGTCCTGGCCAAACTGCTCCTCGAGCCGACGGCGGATCTCCCTTTTGGTGACGGTCGTCAAGTCGGCGTGGCGGAGGTGGTCATCGACAGCGCCCTCGATTTCGGCATCTGTGGGCCCAGAACCGATCAAGTGCTGGTCCTCTGGGCTCCGTGAACCCGGGATTTGGACGTCGAGATAGTTGGTAGTCGGGCGGGACGGCGCGGGCTGGTGAAGGACGCCGGGGGTCATGACCTGCGAGAGGGGTGTGTTGCGGCCGGAGTGGTACCCAGGTGGCGGGTACATCATGCCCATCTGGCCCATCTGCATCTGCGAAGGCGCAGGCGAGTATGCACGCGACATGGCTGGCTCGTACATCGTCTCGCGGCCGTAGATGGACGCCGTGTGCGACTCCGGGTACTCGTTGATGTGCATCTTCCCGGGAGGTACCCACGAGCCAATGCTGTGGTTCGACTCCTTGTCCCAGAGCTCGTTCTCCTGAAGAAGACGTTAGCATCAGCCGTCTCCGCCGGATCGGGAAAGTACGTACGTAGTCATTCCAAGACTTGAGAGGAATAGACCTCGGGTCGAACTTGCCCTCGTCGTGCACAACGACCTTCTTGCCGGACTCTCCCAAAACGATACGCGTTTGACCCCAGGAGAAGTCGTCCATGCGCCAGAACGAGTAGAGAGGCAGCGCGAGCGAGAACACAGGAATGGCGAGGATGTAGAACACCATCCATCCAATCATGTCCCACTTGCGGCGAAGGACGAAGACAAGCGCCTGAAGACCATAGACGGCGGCGATAAGGATGATCGACAGCGTCGGGATTGTGGCATGGTTGGCGGCGAGGTAGATCAGATAACCGATCTGTGCGTGACGAGGTGTTAGCACGACGTAGAGAAGGAGTAGAACCTGGACATACGTAGGCGACGGTAACGGGCTGGATGATCGTGGACAGGAGATCGATCATGACGACGAAGCGCATCGAGAAACAGCAGAAACCGCAGAGTTGGTCGAGGAAGACCAGCTCGCCCAAGTTGTGCACCGTGGAGTTGATCCAACGCCGACGCTGAGACAGCAGAACCTTCCAGTCGTCCGGAGCGACAGTGTACGCGTGCGCGTCGCGGACGAACTGCGTCTTGTAGTTCGAGAAGTGCTTGAGGAGCAGCGTCGTGAGGTAACGATCTTCACCGAGATGCAGCAGGTTCTTCATGTGCAGCGTGTCGACGCGGTTTTCCGAGTAATCCTGGATAATCTGGTTGCTGATGAAGAGCGGCTTGTGCGTGTCCGGTGTGCGGAGACGGTAGAGCGTGAAACAACCGGGCAAACAGGTGACGGAGCCGAAAGGGACTCGAACGACTTGGCCATATGGTGAGAGATGAAGTACTCGTAGACCTGCATCATCGTGATGAGCGACTGCTTGGCGTTGGCCAGCTCTGTTTCACCACAGCATCCGAGCACTTCTTGTCATGATCATCCTGCATGCCAAGTCAGCATGAGTCGAGACATCACGCAACACCACTTACGCAGAGATGAGACGGTTGAGGGAGAGCGGCGCGACAGTCGTGTCGGCATCAACCATGAGACAGTACTCGTAGAACGTGGGGTTGACACCAATGACGTTCTTGATCTGGTGGTACATCTCCAGCTCCAAGGGGTTCATCGGGGCGTTGAAGTGGACCTAAGTTCCGGGGTGAGGGGATGTACTTGGACAGTTACTCGAATGTCTCGTACCTTGTTCAAGAAGTTCATCAGGATCATCTGCGAGTCACGCTTACCACGGTTACCAGGACGTGACTTCTCGCCAGGCTTGCCGCATTTGACGACGACGACGTACGGCACAACGTGGCCCGCGGTCTCGTACAGGCCGGAGAAGACCTTGCCCATGTTGTGCTGCTTCGCGCCTTCGCCGAGCGACAGGAAGCTGAGCGGCTCCGCGTCGACATTCGGGTTCGCGCCAAGTACGTCGAGCACGATGCGCGGCGTGGGCATGTCGTTGCCGGAACCGACGACCATACCATCGCAGATGATGAAAAGAAGCTTCCGCTTGTCGTCGTACTTCATCTGCGCGAGCGAGTCGATAGTCTTCTTGATAGACGATGTGCCTTCGGTATAACACGGGACCTGGCAGATGACGAACTTGTCATGGTCCTCGGGCGCACGCGCAGCGCTGAAGTTGATCGAGGCGATGAACTTGAACGCGATGACGCTGACCATCATAATCGAGAGCGCGAGCAGGATGTATGTCGCAAACAGGCACTGCGGGGAGTTGCGGTTGTCGACCTTGCCGAGGAGGAACAGGTTCCGCAGGCAGACGCGCTGGCGCTTGAGGACATCGCTGTCGATGTTGAGCGAGTCGAGCTGCTTGGTGATATCGGTGCCGGCGTTGTGCTGGAAGAGAGAGACGATCGAAGAGTGCATGAAGTTGGTGTCGACGCCAGAGGGGGCGACGGCGCCGGGACCGAGGTTGGCGACGGAGGGAGGGTTCTGCACGTACTCCGACAAGTCGTAGACCATGCCGTTGTAGATAGCGACGGAGTCACCGGACGAGGCGAGAGATTTGATCTGCTTGGGGCTGTAACCCATGAAGCCGACACGATAACTCCAACGTATCGTCGTCATCGTCTCGAAATACCAATCAGGTCGAGGGTCGGACGTCCACGAACGGAAGTCATGGTACTGCGCGTTCTCATCGGTGTTGTTGCTGGAGCTCAGGACGACGTACGGGCTGACCGAGCCACTGACACCGTTGCACAGAGCAGAGACCTGCACTCATAGTCAGCGATCGCTCTACAAGGCCAACAACGAAGCGACGTACCTGGACCGGGAAGATCTTGTCCGAAGACGCACCGCCATAGGTGAGAATCGACTTCGTGGGCACGACGCTGACGAAGCGCACGTGGTCCGCCACGAGACTGGACAGATCGAAGACTTCGCCGCGAATGGACGTGTAAATGTTGTTCGGGCTATTGGTCTTCGAGTGCGACGCGAGTTCGGACGTGTTGAAGATGTGTTCCGTGGGGCAGATGAGGGGGAGATGATGGCGATGACGAAGATGGCGGCGCCGCAGACGAGCCAAATGATCAGGTTGAGTGCGAGCTTTTCGCGCCACGCTTGCCGAATGTCGAGGCGCTTCATGCGACCGATGTGGACCAAGGCGATGTTTGGGACCCACCAGGTGAGGATCCAGCAGAGCATGACCCATCGACGGCGAGCCGAGGTCTCCTTCAGCACTTCGGTCGTCTCGCCCTCCTGAGCCTCGCCCGCGATCGCCTCCTTGTCGAGCAAACCCTTCTGGTCCGCGTTTTGGAACATGTTCCGCGAGGGCGCGTACGACTCTGTGCCAAAGTTTGAGACGGAAGCGTCGTCCCGCTGGCTCGTATAAGCACTGCGGCCGTCGAAGTCTTCGCTGCGGAGCGACTTGCGTTCGTCGTAGTCTTCGTACATGTCCGCGCGCTGGAAAGGAGAGGCATTGGCGACGAGCGGGAGCTGTTGGCTGGAATTGTTGTTGAATGGGTCCGCGAACTCGTTGTGGTAGGGAGACTCGGCACCGGGGACTTGATAGGGTGCGTAGGGGTCCCCGAGATTGCGAGCGTCGAGTCCGGCCTCCGCTTCGGCATCCCGCATACGATTGCGCTTCATCTCCTCCGAGTCCTTGGAACGGAGGTCATCCTCCAAGCGGCGGAACGCGGCTTGGGAAAGGAAGACCTGCAACGCCGTCAGTAACGCCGTCAATAGCGTGCGCACAACAGGAACGCACCATTGATAATCCCAGAACGATGTCCCGTTCCTGCAAACCGAGCGCCTGGAGGGTGTTCTGGACCTTCGTACGCGAGTCGCCCTCCCCGACACCAACTGACTGAAGCAGACCGCCGTACCGGTCGGTGAACTCGTCGGGGGTCATCATCGCCTCGAACACGTTGACGTTCCTCCGCGCGATCTCCGAAAGGCCGACACTGCGCACTTGAGCCTTGACGGAACGGCCTTCCATTTGGTTCGGCAGTTGCGAGTCGTTAGGGTTGATGCAGAAGACATACCACGACTGCGTGTCCTCCAGGGTCTCGAAGAGTACGTCTAAGGCCGCGCGGAACTCGCCCGCAACACAGGGAGCGCTGCCGCTGGAGGGCGTATCGTCGTCGTCGTCCTTCTTCTCGTCCGGGTCGCCACCCTCCTTTAGCGTGGGCATGCGCTTGATCGTATTTTTGCGACGAGTAGAAGGCGCGCGCATCGGCTTGACCGGCTGCTGCGCGGCGACGATCGTGTCCTCGTTCCGCGGGTGGGCCTGCGTAGCGATGGCCTTGGCGGAGAAGAGACCGCGGACGAAGGGGTTCATGGAGCCGGAGCCATCGGCAGCGGGTGCATCGGTGGCGCCCGCACTGGTGCCACGGAGGAGGGAGACGAAGTCCGGGTTGAGGGCGTCGAGGTTCTTCTCGAGGAAGCCTTGCGCGGAGTACGTGACAGGGCCATTGTAGTGGCTCACCGTGAACGTCGGGAAGCCTGAACGGTCCATGCCTCCAGACTTGAAAGACGAGTGGTTCCCCCATCGCTTTGTGATCGCTTCCACCATCGTGTGGTCGGTCTTGCGCGGCATGCGGCGCGCTTGGTCGTCCATGATGTGCATGAGACCGCCAGGGCGGTTCTGGAGGAGACGCACGCATTCCGAGTTGTCGAAGTAGGCGATCTGTGGGACGAAGCGGGAGATGCCTTCGTTGTTGTACTGGGTGACGTGGGCCTCGAAAAGGCGTTTCTGGCAGAAGTTGAGCAAGCGCTCATTCGCGAAGTTGACACAGAACTGGTCAAGCGAGTTGGGGCGGCTCGTCAAATTCTGGGGGCCCGGGAGGTCGAACAGACCGATGAAGGTCGCAAAGTCGTCGCGGCATAGGCGTTGATTGATGTGCTCATTGAGCCAGGCGAAGAGGAGGGAGTAGAGGGTCTTGGCGAGTTCGTCACGGTTGTCCGAAGCGCCGTCGGGGTCGAGGAAGACCGTACACAGTTCCTTCTTGACCAGCTTCGTCTTGTACGACAGCGCAGCTTCAAGCGCCCCGGCCTGCACGCCAAGGAATTCCGCAACGATCTCGAGGACGTCGAGATTCCGTACAACAGCCGCGTCTTCGTTCCGGTGGCGATCGATGGTGAACTCCAGGTTACCGAGGTGAAGGATGGCGGCGATGAGCTGACATGTCTGGGCGACATGCCGCTTGGAGAACCCAACGTTCTTCAGCGCGACCTTGAGCTGCTCGAATCGCACAGCATCATCGTTGTCTCCAGGACCTCCCCGACCCGCAGTCCCGACTCGTGCTCCAAGGTAGCGGTACTGAGTCTTGTCGGAGAGGTGCATATGATGCCGCTCCTCGGGCGACGCGCCGGCAATGAGGTAGTAGAAGATGTGGAAGTTGCGCTCGCCTGAAGGGGCACCGGCGACACGATTCCGCTCGAGATAGTAGTCGAGGGTCTTGACACCAGAGATTCGGCCGCGTTCGGTGAACTGGAGCTCGGTGTACTTGCCGAAGTGGGACGCATTCGGATTGAAGAGTGTGCGCGAGTTTCCGAACGCCTCGAGGACGAACTCCGCCGCGGGGACTTGCTGGCCAAGCTTCGCGCCCTTCTTGCCCGGCTGGCTCACGCTGAGCTCGAGCAGCGTCTTGATCGCCAGCCGGCGGTTTTCAGACTTGCCGCTTCCTGTTTCACCGCTGCAAGCACAGTATGCGTCAGCATACGTCAAGGTAAGCATACGCCAAGTAACAACATTTCTGCCCGGGCTGCCCATCCAAGCCACACGGCCCCGATGAGACTCACACAGGCTCTCCTCACGAGAACGAAGAAGGAACAAACGCTCCCCTCCCACTTAAACTACCAGCGGATAATTCGATCGGGGCGGTCAAGGCTGATACTCATGACGCACAGCAGCAGGTACCACCGGCTGCCCCAGATGAAATGCTCACCGATGCACGGTCAAGGCCGTACACTGGTTACCATGCTTCATTTCGCAACGGTCTCATAGTGCATATATACTCACAGTGCATAGGCCAATACGATGATCGATGCTATGCACTGCGATATCTCTGTCCTAACCGCTCATCCCCGTCAAAGGCCCTCGATGGGACATTGAGAGGAAGTAGGACCTTGACGAGACACTCGAAGAGAGCAATAAGATGAAGAGACGTACGTGAAGAGCATCGACTGGTCCTGCGCCGTTCTCCGCATGTGGTAGTACGCATTGTTGGCGAGTTGGAAGATGTGGGGGGGAAGGGACGTCCTGTCCGGGTTCGTGTCGCGGTACTCGGTCGCGTACTTGTGGAGAACAGCGTCCGAGTTGCTCGCGATGTACTTGTGGGGGTTGACGGCGACGAGGGCGTTGGATCCGACCGCAGTGTAGATGTTGTCGGTCATGAAGCGTTCGCGGATGCAGGAGACGATGATGTCCTCCGACACCGGCGAGAGCGTCGCCAGGTCGGCGACCTGCTCCAGCTGCTGATGCAGAGTCCCCTGCCGGTTCATCGTGCACCCCGGGTTGCTCCTCGAAGGGGTCGACGAGTGGTGGGGTCCTGGGGTTGGAAGGAAGGGAGAAAAAGAGGGGGAGAGACGGGCGTAGGGAGTTCCGTTGGTATGGCAGTGTGAAAGCGACGGCGGCGGGGGTGTGCGGGATGTTGCCCCTCCGCGCCCGAGTCGGACTTCGAACCTTTCAGACGCCGGGCGCCCGCGTCGGCAACGGATTGTGGCACTTTGAAACCCAGCGCAGCAAATTTAGATACATTGAGACTCCGAACGAAACAATCACTCCGTCAGGCCACAGGCAATTGCATCATCGCCCGGCGCTGCCTGATGTTATTCGCCTCGAAGCGGGTCCTCGCCGTCCGGAGTTCCCATCCATCGCGTTGCTCAACGTTGTCAGCGTTGGTGCCGACAGTCGCTGGTGGGACAAGGCGCGGAGCCGATCGAGACTTCACTCGCTCAGCGTCGACGCTGGCCAAGCCCGACCGATCCAGAAACAGCCCACAGACGCCGTCCGGTCATCGTGCATCGTGTTACACATCCTACAGGATCCCCACGCAGCTCTATAAAAGTAACGCGTGTGAGTGGTTCCCAAGCAGGCTTCGCTTCTCCGTAAATCCCGAGCCCGGCGTAGGCTATCCGGAATATGTCTCGGAGTTTGTCCGAAAACGACTCTCGGGCTTGTGCACGGCCTGGTATGCCCCTTGCGATGCAGAGTTTGAAAGGAGCATACAACAAGTCCGCGCCAAGCGCGGACGCTGCCAGGCGGTGTGCGAGCGAGCAGGGCCGTTCGCCATCTTGATGGTGCTGACAGTGCTGACCCATGGGCCATGACCACAGGTCGGCGGGTTAGCAAGCCTTCCGGCGGCAGGAGTAGTAGTTGGCCATTTGCGAGACTGGGAAGTCAACAACTAGACGACGTCGCAAACTGGCATCGAGAAATGAAAACGGAAGGCATCATGTCGACGATTCGGGGTCCTCCTGAAACGTGCGCTGGCACACCCCGAATTTGAAGCTGTGAAGCCTCATCGGCACGCCACGACGCGTGCAGCAAGAAGTGACTGATTGGAAGTATACGGGGCAGGGCTCCAGGCGCGAGTGCTATCAACTTGACTCAAGTACTTAAGAGCTGAATGGTGTCTTGCCCAGCAACAGTATGTGCTACTTCGGTCTCGGCGTTTCTGTCTTTACTCATCACGGCATTATATAACTCAGAATTTTCATTTCAGGCCGCCGACTGTGTTACACCATCCGCAACGGATCGGTGGCCGATGACGTCAAACGTTGGCGAAGCTGTATGAAAGGCAATGCGTCTGTATGATGAATCGATGATGCTTCCCGTCACCTGAATGCATCTATCGGATTGTATCCCCGCTGTCGGCGGATTGCAGTCCGTTTGACCTCCATCAGCAAAAGGTGTTTTCCATGGTAGCGCCCGATAACACGCGACACCGCCATATCGGGACAGGTCATCTATTGTCTGCGCGACAAATGATGATAGCAGAACGGTAGCATGTGACATTCATTCGTCTTTGCTATGACATTTGATCGCATTTTGTGGCCGCATACAGGATATGATGGATCTACTACAGGCACTAGTAGTGTAGACAGAAAGCTGTAGTCGATGGTATGATAATGATAATAGACGATCATTCATTCCTCCCAAGGTGATTCATGGCGCGCGCGGGGGGCATGAGAAGTTCGTATTGAGCTATACGATCGGTTCGCGAGCGCGCGAACAGTGCGCGCCGCAAAGAACGCGGTGCGCGCGAAGATACGCCGACCGATGTCAGCGCGGGCGTCTGTCCCACTCACGGGCGGAGTGACGAGTCCGCTCCGTTTTCCGACGTTCATTGAGCCCGTCTCCTCTGAACTTCCGCCGCACAGCTCAACACCGGACCCCCTCCGCGAAGCTCTCCCACCCCGTCTCGTTCCCCTCCAGCCGACGAACAAGTACCACCGCATCGCGATCCTGGTCGCCGACGGCTTTGATCGCGCGCGGCGCAAGTCGACAGCATAACGCGCCACGCTCAAGGTCGGAATAGCGACCACATGGGCAGTCGGGTAGTGCTGCGGGTGATGGCAGGAGCAAGGGCGGGCCGCGGGCGATGGCAGGAGTAAGGGTACTACGAGGTGGAGTGTATATTGTGGGTGGGTCGAGAATGTGAAAGACAAGTCGAGATACATACATCGTCGGGCAGAGTTGCCAGCCTCAGGGCCGAGCATACCCCTCTGCTTCGTACTCGTCGTCTTCATAGTAGTCGGGGTCGTCAATTATCTCATAAGCGGGGCGCTCTACGAGATCGTCCCCCTCATTCTCCTCGTCTTGCCGCTCGTCGAGCTCTTCAAGGGCTTCGAGTTCGTGAGCAAACTCGGCTGCCTCCTCCTGGGCATCTTCAGCATCGTTGTCTTCGTCGCCTGGAGGATGCGAAGACGAAGGCTCTTCAATGCCACGTTCCGGAGTGTGTCCGCCGGCGTCAGGAGGACTTGGGTACGACTCGGGGGTCACGAGAGGGCCTTCGCGTAGCGCGTGCTGTCGAGATTGCGCGATCGTCACGAACTGCTCGCGGTGTCCGACGCCGCCGCCAAGGTATCGCATGTACATATCTCGATCAACAAACCTGTATGAGATCACACGTGAAAATACAGACAACCCATAGCAAGGATGGGTACTCACATGCAAGCGTAGTAGTAGGCATAGTCAAGATTGTCGGAATCGCAACGTGCAAGGCGCGATTCACCGAGCAGCCGCTCGGTCTTGCCGAAGTGGAACGCTGGAATGAGGTACGACGCACGCACGACGGTCGCGGGATCGAGAAATCCGAACGGCTCCGTGCTGGCGTCATTGTGTGGGACGAATTGAAGACGAGGGAGGCGGCGTGTGGTGAAACCAGACTGAAGTTCACTGTCGACCTTGAACCAACGCACCCAGAGAACGTCCATGCTTGAGGAGACTCGGAGCACTTGTGATGCTGCAGTTCCCGGGATAGTAGAAGTCCTAGGTCGAGCGAGGCAGGACACCGTGAGGTGGAAGATGCTGAGCACACGGGCGTACGCATATGGATGATCAGAGGACTCGTCGGGGGCCCATACCATGACGTCCGGGTGGGTTCTTGGATTGACCGAGTCTTGATTGCGGCGCATATCGTACGTAGTATAGTTGAAGCGGATCACCTTGTGCGTGTACAGCCTTGAGTCTTCGATCCGGAGATCCCAGGCAGTAACGTCCGAGCGTTCGTTCAGCAAGTGCTCGGGGATCGCGTTTGCTGCGAGTAGACGAGGAAGACAGTGCGAACGGAGGAGAGGGAGGAAGTTCTAGGCAAGACATACATCAGAATTGGCGTAAGAGGGCATATTTTGGGTCTCACCTCTAGTGCGGGGTCGCCCGCGTTCTCAGCAAGCCAGTTATAAATCCTCACGATATTGCGGCGCCCGTTCCCAACGTCGTACCTTGCATGCGGATCCGATCCTTCTGCGTTAAAGGGAGAGCGCTCAGTCGGAAGCTCAGATGGAGTGTCGCGACGACGCTCGAGGGACTCCTGCAGCAGGGCACGAGCATCTTCGCGTTGTCGCTGAGCCTCGCGACGTGGTGTATAGTCGGGGTCGCTGTCTCTCAGATGGCGAAGGAGCTCAGCGCGCCACTGGTGGTTCGCTATCTGCGAAACAAATTCCACTTTGTTGGTGCGTGGATAGAACTGCTTGACGACTTGTGTTCAAGCTCGCCCTAGGGCAGTCACCGGGTCAGCACCTGGTTGAGTATGATAGAATGAGAAGCAGCTTACCGTTTGAGTGCTGCCGCCGTCGAGAGGGCCAGAGTCCTCGACAGTATCTGGCGCGTGGCTCACCCCGTGGAACTTTGGCCGCTCCCATATGTTGCATGGCTTCTTCTTCCTCTGGCCGTCCACATGCTGCGGATCAATGGCAGCTTCGCGGCGGAGGCGAGCTTGAAACTCGTTCTTCGACTCGTACACTTCGTAACGCGTGCATGTCGTCTTGAAGGCTCGAAAAGCGTCGTACATGTGCGTGGTGGCGTCTTTGAAGATGTCGACAGTAACCTCGGTGTGCAAGCGGAGCTTCGCAAGTGCGTGCCAGTTGGCCAGCTCGAAGAGGAGCCCACTGATCACCGCGTCGTCTTTGGCTGGTAGGAGACCTTGAAACGCCGGAATGATTGTCTAGAATATCCTGTCAGCAGCGACTTGATATTGATATTTAGTCCCCACCAAAAGAAATGCCTCGTAATCGCGGGCAGCGAGTCGCTTGCGATGAGACACATCATGCGAGAAGCGCCTGATTCTGTCTCGACCGAAGGTAGGTGTGGCGCGCATACTAGGGGAAGAGGTTATGGGATTAGCCCGAGCAGGCAGATAATGACAACTACGTACCGTGTGTTGAAGGACTGGAGTGCTCCTTTGCCATGAGATTCCAGCATTCCCATCAGCTGCTGGAACGTCGCTTTCCAGATGCCGAGTTCAAACTCGTGCATCACATCTGGAACGAACAGCCTGTAGGTGTTCACTCCAAACTGAGACAGGCGCGTTGACAGTGCGCTCTGTGCGCATTAGATCAGCTGAGAAGTCACGGTTGATTCGATTGAAAGGCACTCACTCGGATCGGGATCAGGGCCATGTCGTCGAGGTGATGTTTCACACATTTTCCGGCCAGGGATCGACCCTTGAACACGGCTCGTCGTGAGGCTTCAATGCGATCGTGAACCTCGCTATCGTCGAGCCGTGCTCCGGGAGAACCTAAGCTAGATGCCAACAGCTCAGCATGGCCGGCGAGACCAGTCTCGGAGATCTTGTCCTTGTGGATGAGGCACCGATGGCATGGATGGTTGGAGAGGGGCCGAAGCGCAGTCGCCAGCATCCTGGCGCCGTAAAGAGTGAGCCGAGTATCGAATGAAGAGCGAGGGGACTTACTTCTCGGGATAGTCCGCTGAGTAAGTCACGATACGGGGGAAAATACGACGCTTGACACCGTCTCCGCACATAAGGACGATACCATGTTCGTACGCGTGCATGAAGTCGTCGTCGAGGAGCTTTAGCCATACCTGTTGAAAGAGCTCCCGTTTGCAGAACTTGAGTACCTCAGGCGAGGGCGGGACTCCGTATACGCTCTTGTAGAAGTCCTTGAAGTCGTCGGGAAGCTGTAGCTCACTCAGCTGCCAGCGTAAATCAGAGTGTTCGTAAGAACATACCTCGGGGATGTATGCCAAATGGTGCGCAGCGAACTGTGATGGGCGAGCGCGAACGTACTTGGAGAGGTTGCCCAAGTACATGTATATAGGCCAGAGGGACGCGGTTCCGAACGACGCCAGCTGTGTTGCATCTGACCAGAACTTCAGCGGTAGGATGACATACTCGAGGTCTTCTGGATCGTCCGGATGACGCGGCTTTGAGTGCAGTTCCTTGGCCTCCTTGAGCATGTCGTTGCAATTGAAATCGTCTGTGAAAATGCGTATAGGGGGAGAATTTTCGTCCCCTGACATGATTTATTAGCATATCAAACATGTGAACGATGTGACGACACACCTTCGGGACTCCAGAGCAGAATATGTGGGAGCCAGTGCAGCTGTTTGCAGTAGGAGGTGGTCGTGTCCATAACAGCAGCTTCGACGAGTGCAAGTAAGCGACGAAACTTGAGGCCGCGCACCACATAAACCGGGTGCGCGGCTTCGGTCTTGTATGGCGAATGCGTCTTCGGAAGGGGGAGAGGAAGGCCATCTTCTTCCCAACCGTGACTCTTGCTAAACATACCCGTGTCGTCCTCGTAGTTATCGAGTGTTTCGTTGATCTGCGCAGCGGAGAACCCGCCCTCCTTGATGGACTGGTCACGGAAACCCGGAGAGTCCATGACGTCGAGCAGGTCGTCGAAGTCGGCCGCAGTCTTGTGGAGAGAGCCATTCAGCCACCAGTCTGAGAGACGGTGCTGCGCGATCGTCCGGAACGGAGACTTGAGTGCGTTCTTCGCATCGCGACCGTGCTTGAGAACTTGCTGGACGTTCTTGACAAGCCAGGCCATTGTCTTCGAGCGTGGGACTTTGTCAGCGCGATTGGTGTTCGAAGAGAGGCCGGGGGCATCGCAGCGATCATCCAAGGTGAGCTCGGCTTCGGGATCTTCCTTCGGCGGTGTGTCGAAGTAGCGGCGGAACACCCGGTAGCCGTTCATGGGTGTCTCGAACTCGTTCCTCGCTGGTTGCCAGTGGTGCTCCGCTGCAGCGTCAGAGGTGGGGGAACTCGCCCGAGACGGCCGAGACGACGATGATGTGGGCTGAGGGGGAGTGAGATCACGAGCTTCATTGAACTGGGCCGGAAGAGTATTGCTACTAGACGGGACAAAGTCCGAGAAGATGCGGGGAAGGCGGATGCGACGACCGCTGACGCGCGATGTCGGGGCGTGATCTTCTGAGACCCCTGCTGCAGGACCAGGGGATGCTTCTTTGTGCGCTGCCGGAGTCCAGAACTGAAGATGCAAAGGTCAGCATGCACTTGCAACGATCCGATCAACTCACCCTCGCAGCCTGGGCGCGTGTCTGCCTGTCGAGTCGCTCCGTTCGGGCGCGTTTCTGGCCCTGCTCTTCCAGCTCAGCCTTGCGCTTGGAAAACGTAGCTGCGCTGCTAGATTCGTTTTTGAACTTGCACCATCGGGTCTCATGGACCCCAAGGCCAGCATGGTCGTTTGCTTGATACTTGCATCCGTTGACGCTGTTTTTGCATGCGTAGCCAGGCATCTGCTGGCTTTCTCCAATCCTCAGCGCGATTCAAGAGTTTGCGATATACTCACTTTGCAGAGTGTTGTGTTTTCCGCACTGCCAGCCGCAACGACTTGGGAGATCGATGTCCGGAATCAAGTCGGCGATAGGCGCCAGAGCCGCGCGGCCGCGTGTGCCTTCCATCAGGTGAGACAAAAAGCAAGAAATGATATTACTCACCCAAGTCTTGTGCGAGTGATCATAGGCTATAGCATCAGGTCATTGCATGCCATTGCGGACCTCGTTGCTTGCTGAACAATAGGCAAACAAGACGTGTGGCGTGACAGACACGGGCGCGTGCGTGGGTGTGAGCGCCTACTGGGCTCTGTCCGCGACCGCCATCATCCCCTGCGCGCGATGTGCCACTCATGCTCGCGCGCGATGTATAAAGAGGCGGTGAGCTCCTCCTCACTCCCCACCCTCAGCATCTCGCTCACCGCACCCTCACTGCTCTCCGTCGACATTCACATGGCCTTCAACAGCCTCTCGCAGACCGCTGGAGTGGCGCGCGCCGCCGCATCCTCGGCTGTTCCCAGTGGTCAGCCTACGCCCCAGGTAAGTTCAACCAGTATATGACCTAATAGTAGTGTGCTTATGCCTCATCTAGACTCCCAACAATCGTAACGGGGCTGGCCGTGGCAACAAGAAGCGCAAGTCCGCTGGCGCCAGCTCCCAGGATGGCGTGCGCACCGCCCCCGCACCTCCTGTCACGCCGTCTATCCACGCCTCTGGCTCCACCATACACCAGCCTCTCACCCCGCGCTCGGTGCCCAACGGCATATCCGAGTACGCCATCTCTGCCGCCGCCGCCGCCGCCTCTCAGTACTACATCACCCAGCCGGGTCCGGTGATTCAACCTACCGACGCTTCCGGTGGGCAGCCGCAGTACCCTTCGGGCCTTCTGCCCGGAGGTCAGGCCATGCCTGCGCCCATTCAGGCCGTGTCGTCGATGCCACCCGCTCACACCACTGCACCCCCAGCGCAGCTTATGCCGCCTCCGCCTCCGCCCGCAGGTCAAGCCGCGCCCGCGGCCACCTCGCTGCACGCCACCGCGGCGCAGCAGTGGGAGCGCTCTGTCATGAGCCTCAGTACAAAGCTTGAGTCAGTAGGTCTCAGAAAGCGTTCAGTCTGCATGCTAACGCATCACATAGCCGCCTTGAACGGCTCACCGCGGGCTGCGAGAAGATGCACGACCAGTGCCGTCTGATCGTTCGTCTGGGCGGTGGATTCGTTCCTTATGCAGAGGTCCTTCCCAAGGGGTTGGCCGCATACTGTACCGATGAATTCTCGATCAGGTAAGCACACTCCAAATACGCATTTCCACACACTGTTACCGACCACTCCGATAGCACTCACGACAGGGACGATCCCATGTATCGTTACCAGCACAATGTGTGGAACATTGTCTGGGAACACTTCCCTCAATTCGAGGATTACGTCGAGTTGCTCGTTGAGAGGCCTCAAGTACTCGGCCACATCGCCAACTACGTAAGCCCTGTATCCTGCTCTTGTGTCCGTCGGGATTAACTTTGATTCTATTACTTCTGGTAGCTCACACGTCTCGAACCCAAGGTTCGAGGCGACGACCTGACACGACTTCGATCTCCGATCATCACTCTCGCAGGGATCGAGGATCCCGGAAACAATCTGGCGAACAACAAGAGCGCGCGGGGGTTCAACAACCCACACACGGCCCGCCTTCTGACCCCTTACTACAAGCTCGACGAGTTCGATAGGGACCCGACCGCGTAAGCTGAACGTTTCGGCAGCTTCTCGTACGGCGGATGTTGACCATGCTTACTATCTTTAGCTTCTGCAACGACGTCAACAATGGCGTCATCCCGCTGCGCGCCAAGAACTTCTTTTCCGCCTTGTACAGTACGCGCGACGCTCTCCCCAGGCAACCTCTTCCTGGTTTGTTGAAAGGAGCACTCATCGTCAAGGTACGTCGCACCATGTGGACGAATATCGACTACTAGATGCGCACTCACACATCTACAGGCTTACAAGGCGATCTTTGCGAGTCCCAAAGCCGCAATGCGCGGGGACGTTGGAGGCCTGCGTGCCCGCAAGTCAAAGGGACAGGCCCCCCTAACCAAAAAGTACCATCTGACTGCTGATCACTTCAGCCTGTACAGTGTTGTGTACGTCGCTAGTCTGGTAAGCCCTGCACTTCAATCTGGCATCTCATCGTTAAGCTCAAATTCTTTCAGGTGCGCTTCTGCCTTACCAGCGAGCCGGAATGGAGCGACACCGACGGCTTCTGGGATGTGCGCGACTTCGTGCTCAAGCTCACGCGCACGGCACAGAGCCAGAAGCAGTGGAAGGCGGAGACGACGACGTGGTGGATCCAGTAAGCCTCCGTTCCACACGCTATATTAAGACGACGTCAGCCGATACCCGCATTCATCACAGGCACCTCTTTGGCGACATCGCCCTCACTGTCGACGAGGAGCGCACGCCCTTTGATGACATCCTCGACGCGGGCTCAGATGAGGAGGTCCCGGAGGGTGGCAATGACGGTGATAACGGCGACGACGGCTTCGACTCAGAGTAGAAGGTATGTTTCAGCCCTCATACGTCCTCGCGTCGTCTCGCTCATTGCTTGCACCACAGGTATACTGTAGTACACCGGCATTGTGGACATCGCATTGAAGAGTACCTATTTGTTTCCTGAATGCACACTGTAGTCCGCCTTGTAGAACGCCGCTGTTTCGTATTTACCCCGAATGGATTACTGCGCGATTGGATTATAGTACCTGTGTGATTATATGCGAGCCCCAGTGTACGACGGAAGACGATAATCTTCCGCAGGGTGCTGTAGGTTCTCTGTCATCTCCTCCGCTAACTCTGACCTCTTATCGTGTAGCGCTATCATCTCATGCGCCGCAGATGACCGATATACGGTCGTGCGCGCACTCAGACTTGATAGCCCTGCCCGCGAGAATCGATCATCAGTTGATAGCGGAAGAAGCAGACGGCCGTACAATACGGGATACTGCATTCTTTGGATACTAATCTACCTTCTATTGTCTTCGCTAGCACTAACTATCGTACACTACAAATGCCCCAGTGCACGATCATACACTATCGTTTCCGCACCTACTTTGCTGATGTCGGACATTCTCCGAGTGCGGAAGCCTGAGCCGGGGACTTTCCCACGTCCTCGCCCCAGTCAGCGCGCTTGCTCTTCGGTGCATCTCTCTTGGCCGTCTCCACCCCGACGCTCATGTGAGTGCTGCTCTCGACTTGGAAGATGGAAGAAATTTCTTATCCTTATCGGTGCAAATCGTAATGTCTATGGTTCTAACATCATCAAATTCAGCAGTACTACAGAGATGGCTCACACTCCCCCTCCGTTCACCCTGCCACTGGAGCTCTTTTATCACGTCTTCGAATGGTTGTGGAATGAACCGTACACCCTCCAGGCGATCTCTATCTCATGCAAATCATTCTCGCCGCTCGCCCGCAAGCTCTTATTTCACCATATCGACCTCACAGACAACATGACAACCAAGTTCACGCGCCTTCTCGAGGCAAACCCGAGTATCTCCGCTTGCGTGGAGATCCTCGCCGTTTGTGACCTCAGAAGACATCTTCGCGACGCTCTAGGCACGCGCCCTTGTATATCCTTCCAGCGCTTCACTCACGTCCGCCGATTGGTTCTCCGCGGACTGGCCGTTCGCCACGTCGACGCCATCACTACTATCCTTGCTGTCCTTCCTTCCCTGAAACATCTCGAAATCTCCCAGGTGGATGAAATGCGACAACCCTTTGTCGATTCAGAGTACGTTGGGCTCGTATCACCATCCGTGGACGTCCAGATAGAAGACGGCTCGCAGGAGCGAATACCGCTGGACAAGCGACGGCCTTTTCCTCGATTGACAAGCCTGACGGTGAAGTACTCCGATATCGACCACCCTCGTCTCGTGAACAACATCGTCCGGTGTTTCGACCTGAGCTCCATTCAGTGTTTGGAGTTGTCACTTCCGACGAACATTGCCTACTGGATTCCTGTCCTACGTGAGGCCCACAGTTCTCTGTGTATGTTCTACGCCTACTTCAGAGACGGACCTCTTCCTCCGGATGCCGGTGATAACGCTTCCGAACACGGTGAGACACGCGTCTTTTTCCCCCAGCCACAGGCCTTAGCTCACACGACGATATTAGACACTGTATCTTCTGCCCTCTATGACGCGATAGCCGGCTGTGATAGCCTTGTCTCCCTGACCCTCACATTTCCGCCATCGCCCGTTGACCTCCAGTGCCAATCCCTCGACGCGCTCAGCTCATTCCTCGCTCGCTCCCTGTCTCCCCTCCCCAGCCTCACCCACCTCATGATCATCACCCACCTGGACGCCAACGCGGTGGAACACCACGGCCGCTCATGCGAGCGCGTCGCGCGCGCACTCGTCGCCCACAAGGCGCAGCGCTATCCGCGCCTCGCGAAACTCACCTTCGCCACCAACCAATTGCGCTCGCCCAACAATGGGGACGTTGAAGACATGGTGGCCCGCTGGCGCGGGTTACTCGCGCATAGTGTCAGAGATGACGATGGTTTCAAGCTGGAGGTAAATTAGCCTGCCTTTTCCAGAGACATGTGACTGCGCTCAGCCGCCTCTCGTTCTCGACAGGTCACATCTAAACCGATCGGACCCAAGTTCGGGCCAGGGATGTTGTTGTTCTGATTCGGTTATGGATGGCGATTCCCCCCAGCAGCACAACGGTAAGGACCGTGTTGCCTATAGCTCACTATTGTCGAATGACGGACCCCGCTACCAGGCTGACACTATGCCGAAACCCCATGACCCACCTCGTTCACGCGTCTGACATTCTACCGCCCGTGGATGTGGGTGGGACCCCCCTTCGCCGCCATTAAACTGGAGACGGTTAGCGGATTCGTCTTGTACGTACCTTGTCGTCGACTGTTTGAACGTTCTACTGACTTCGCATACAGATTGCCAGAGGATTGTAGGTGCAGAATAGCTTCCAAACTCTTCAAACCTCTTCTATTATTGTGGACGAGTGCAGCCAAAGTCGATGAGAGGATGGATGGTTTGATACATGTACATCGTATGATGTCACAGCGTTGAGTAGAGCTGTACGGATTAGGAAGCGCTCGATTCGGGTCGGCGCTCGTACAGCCCTTTGCAATGAAACGTGGAATCACTCACGCGAGATCATTTGTTTGTCCCGCACAAACAAAGCCTGAAAAGGCAGGCCGGCAACGTGCGGCGTGACGTCGCAGTCACGCAGCGGGCGTCGCCCACGCGAACGCAGACTAGCGCTGGCGAAGATCCAACGCAACAGAACGCAACAGGACGACTCGAGGGCGATTGTGGGTGCAGGCGAAGCCGAGAGGAGACGGATTGAGCCCACTATGCACGCGGATATGGCGAGGAAGTGAGCTGGATAGGCCAGACAAGTGGAGTAGTACCCACACAGCACGTGTACAAAAAGAGATTGTACTGGTGCCAAGATACGCGCACATACTACTGCGAGACAGAATACTATGCAGCCATGACACGTGGAAACCAGCAGGAGGGGTTCGGGAGAGCGTGTATATGAGTGGGCACTAGGTAGCAAGTCTGCCGACCAAGACAGGGAGAACTAAGAACGGCGGCGAGGGCGGTGGTTACAGGAACAGGAACGAAACAGAAAATGGACCAGATAATATCTGAAAACGCATGGGGACAGCTACGGGGGATGCTCACGAGAGAAGGAGGGCGTCATACCACGGGTGGTGGTGCTCAGGTGCACACGGTGTAAACCACGAAAGCCACGCCCGGAGGGCACCGCGGCGAGTTCGCGTGCGTCGCGCCTCGACAGGTAGGCCTCCGCGGTGATCCTGTTGCACTTACAAGCGGGTTGCGATAGGTTTGGGAGGCGGAACGGCTCACGGATGTCGGGGATGACTCTGCTGGCGCTAGCTTGATCACGGGCGCTGGTCTCATGCGTCTGCCGGTGACACGTGTGTATCACCACCTAAAGACATTCACCAAGAGTCAGAGGTGTGGTGAAGTATGGCATGAGCGCAAGTGGCAGATATCTGCCAGAGAGCGTGCGGGCCCCATCGTCCAGTCTCTGCCTGTGACTGAGATGTCACGCCGCACGTTGCCGGCCTGCCTTTTCAGGCTTTGTTTGTGCGGGACAAACAAATGATCTCGCGTGAGTGATTCCACGTTTCATTGCAAAGGGCTGTAATGATGCTCTTCAGGCTTGATTTGTACTACTACCACATACTTCCGTCTTCCGTCGTGCACCCCGTCCCGGCTTGTTCCATTATCGAAGCTCTCACAGTATCCTCAAAATGTTCTCGTCTCTTCTACGGGTGCTTGCTACGGGCTTCCCTCTGGTTTTGCTGCGACATTCGCACCCCTATGCGCGCTTGACGTCGCAGCCATCACAGCGGAACGAGGCGAACGTTATGCAGTCTCGTAGAAGGATGGATGTTTGGACAGGGCTCCTACGAAAGACAATCGCAGTTTTCTGAGGTCGTGAAGATCTAGGGCTGGTTCGTCTTCGTTTAGTTCTGCGTGAACGTTTTTTTCTGGATTGCGCTACATCACACCAAGACGATGAAAGTCCGCCTTTACGAGTTGATGTGCTCTATCGCGTCCGCATAGTCCAGTGTCTCAAGCCAGAACGTCTACCATTACTTATGTGACCGTTCATCTCTCCGTATGGGTGGCCTGAGCGGGACACCTCTGGTGAGTCATCCACAGCCCTCTCATAGTCCTCTGCGAGCTTAATGTACACCATCTTCCTCACTTTAGTCTCTCTTCAAAGACGGCTTTACGTGCAGCCGTGAGCCCGCTCAATCACGGCCGTCGGGACCCGAGCTACGCCGCCCTTGATTGCCTTGATAGCTCCAGCCAGGTTTGAACGGCTGTACCCTGGTGAGAAGACGTTAACCCCGCATGAACCGCGCAACTCTCGCCATATGCGATGGATCATCGCCACATGACGATTTCATTCCATCTTGGATGCCAGCAGCGCACGAAAGGCGGCGACAGGTGAGCCCCATATGTTAATGTCATCCAGGCGGTGGGAAACTCATCGGGCTTTTCCCGTCGTGCCTATGTCAGCAGATGCCACTCTGGTTTATCTCTAGGGTTCACACCGTACGGATCTTCTCAATGCCGTCGGTTTCGACCGCGTCGAGCCTCGGATATTCGGCCATATAAGCTCCAGACCATTTCCTGCGCTTTTTCAGCCCCTCGTCACCAGGCATGGCGGCAACGGTGTACTTCTCTCGGCTCCCCGTGCTGTCGACCGTCTCCGCCCTGATTGCACAGCGGCGATTGCCTCATACCTTCGCTCGGTCTTCTCGTGGAGGCGACGATCCCGCGGCCGACCCTTCCCACCAGGCCCTCCAGGATTACCTTTTATTGGAAACCTACTCGATATGCCAATGGTTCGGCCATGGGAGGGTCTGCGAGAGCTATGCCACAAGTATGGTGAGTCTGCGATGCGATTGCAGACTCTGATTTTCTGGATGGCTAACTCACAATGGCAGGCGACATTTTAGGCATGACGATAATGGGCAGTCCGGTGGTGGTCCTCAACTCCGCCAACGATATCTCCCAGTATCTAGACGGCCACTCGGCCACCACGTCAAGTAGGCCACGCTCGGCAAGCCAGGAGCTGTATGTTCCCATATTGGCTGTCTTTCAAGTTCTGAAATTGCTTTGTACCTCAGTCTCGACTTGACCGGACTATTCGCGTTCATGCCGTACGGGCCCGAGTGGAGGCTGCATCGACGCACGATGTGGCAGTACTTCACCCCCACTGCAGTCACGAAGTACATCCCCGCAATACAGACGTCGTCGCGTATAACCCTCCACAAGCTTCTTGAGGCTCCGGACCGGTTCGAAGAACACTTCCAAGAGTGGGTGGATGTGTCCCTGTCTAATCAAGGAACTCGCTGATCTCTCCCTACAGTTCGGTCGGCGCGACGCTGATGAAGGTCGTATACGGCCTTGACGCCAAATACGAAAACGACGAGAGTCTCATGACGATCGACAAAGGGCTCGAATCGGGCCGCGAGTCCCTCGTCCCGGGAAGATTCCTCGTGGACGTCATCCCCATCCTCCGTTTCCTGCCCCCCTTCTTCCCTTCTCAAAAGCGCTTTTACGACTCCGCGAGCAGACGGCCCGCATGTACGATATGCCTTACTCCCTTCACAAAGCGGCCGCGGTGAATATCTTTCTGTGGCGTATCCGGACCCTCATCCTCAAAGTTTTCACCCCTGATACAGATGCGTGGAGACATGGGTGACTGCATCCTGTCGATATGCTCTCCCAGTTCACGAGCAAGCCGGACGACAACATCTATGATCCAACGGTCAACCCCGTAGGCGATAGGGTGGCGAGAGGTGTCACTGCAGTCACCTTTGCGGGTCGTGTGTTCTCTTCTCACTCTGAATCGACGCTGAAGGACTCGCTCGCCTCATTGCAGCGGGATCAGACACAGTGAGTAGCTCACCATATCGTGATCACTGACAGGGCACTAAATTGTCGATGCAGACTTGCGCGGTCCTTAAGACATTCGTCCTTGCAATGTCTCTCAACCCCGACGTCCTCAAACGCGCCCAGGCCGAGACAGATGCGGCCGTTGGGCCCACGCGCCTCCCAGACCTCGCGGATCGTGACGCTTTGCCGTACGTGAACGCGATGTACCTTGAAACCCTCCGCTGGATGCAGGTGGTTCCACTGGGCCTCGCCCACAACACAACCGAAGACGAGCAGTTCGGTGACTATTTGTGCCCGCCGGCACAATGATTCTGCCAACATCTGGTACGCCGTAGTCAGCAGGTCCTTTGTATGAAGACTCTCATGGACAGATCGCGGCGTCACAGGGCATGCATGCACGACCCAAACACGTACCACGAGCCGGCGTCCTTCGTCCCAGAGAGGTTCCTGCGCGACGGAAAGCTAGATCCCGAAGTCAGGAACCCGACCGACTTCGTGTTCGGTTTCGGAAGACGGTCGGTCGCGCGAGTCACGCCCCATCGCCCGACCTGCATGCTGACGACGACCTCGAACGCCAGCATCTGCCCCGGGAGACACTACGCCGAGAGTGACATCTTCCTCACCATGGCGCACATCATCCACGTCTTCGACATCCGCCCGCCCGTGGACGAGGACGGGCGCGAGGTCGCGATCGAGCCGAAGATGGTCAACGGCTTCGTTTCGTGCGTGCTGTCCTTTCGTGCATCCTGTCATCGCTCGTCGCTGACCTGCGCGATCGGACCCAGGTGGCCGGAGGACTGCCGGTGCAGGATCACGCCGCGGACGCCCCACGCCGCCGCACTGATCGTGGACGAGTTCGCGCAGCGGATCAATCAAGGCTGAGCGCGTTGAAACGATGCTCGACGCCACGACGTTGGGCAGAGTTGTACTATGTCGGGAAGGAAATGTCTGCGACGTCGTGCTTCTGTGTGATTCGTGTGATGTACTATAAACCAAATCATTGCTCCTGCCTTACAGGCGGCCCGCGACCTGCACATGTACAGGACACTACGTGGCGAGGAGATCCAGTGTGGACGCTGCTGAAGCACGCCCGACGCCCGACGAGCGCGATCGACTGCCCATGTCGCGTAGGGAAACAGACAACATTGGGTGAGCGAAAGCCGGCAGAAAAGGACGAAAGAATGTTACTCGCGAACGCGCGGACATTCACCGAGGGCACCGTTGCTGCCCTGGTCTCCATGTCAGGCCAGGATGGTGCCGGCTGTGGAAGAGTGCACCATCCGATCGGCACGAAGTGCGCTGCTGCTATGATCGGTTGCTTCTTTGTACCGTGCCGCGCAATTAGCCATCGAACATTCAAGCAATGACAAAAGAGCGGCGAGACGTTAAGTCTCAATATGTGCGTTAAGGGTTCGGCGGACAGATGCAGGTGTTAAGTAAGAGTATGGAGGCAGGAGTAGTGAGACGTAGATTTGAAAAGACGCGAGGCACGATACGACGTAGATGAAGCATAATAAAGTCAGGGACATAGATCGCAACATATTCGCATAGATGTACAACGCTCGCGTGGTTTCCTGTGATGATGTATCAACCAGGAGCAAGAACAGACACCGCAGACACAATGGGGATGAGAAGAGGGGATGCAAGAGAGGAACGGGGACGGAGACGGGAGTCTGGCATCGTGTGTGGGCAAGGAAATCATTCTCGCGCGTTGAGACGCTCGATTCTGCGCGCTTGCGCTTTGTCGATCACGCACTTGCGGTAATGCATGTTCGTGACCCACGCCGGGTTGCCCTGGTCGTTGACGAGCAGCGTATGGGTATCCGCGAGCTGTTTCTTTGGGTGGGTGCTCCCCGGGTGGACCGTTCGCCAGAGATATACGGGCCCGTCGGGGCCCTCCAGCCCGTCCTCCTTGTCCCATATCCACATCTGCCGCTTGTTTTCGCTGTAGTGGTGTACGTAGAGGTGCGCCTGGCGGAGGCCCTCTATATGCGGGGGCCGCTCGATGCGGTCTGCAGACCGTGTGAAGTACCACGTCGTGGAGTGCCGCTGGTTGGTGATTGGCCTTGTCTCCATCTCGGGGACCAGGACCGCCTTCCTGCAAAACACTCCGAGTCAGCCGACGGGCCCCGATGCGCACCGAGGACGAAGGAACGCACCTCTTCTCCGCTTTTACTGCCTTTTCGGCCTTCACGCTCTTCTCCGTCTTGACGTTCTTCTCCGCCTTGACGACCTTTTCGGCCTTCACCGCGCGGACCTTCATGCCGTTGCGGATGACGGGCCCGCCCGCGCGGTCCTGGGCACGCGGGATGGGCTCTGGCTTCGCCCGGGCCGGGGAGGCCGGCGGAGTCGTCCCTGCCCTCCCCCGGCCAGTCCTGGTGCTTTCCCCGTCCGCGAAGTCGTCTTCTTCGTCTTCGCACGGCGCGGACTCGGGAGAGGACTCACGCGACCCGGAGTAGGTCCGGCTTCCGCTGGCTTCGGCATTCACTTGCGCACGGCGACGCGGGCGGTCGCTGCTGTTTTGGGATGGAGTCATGGGGTGCGAAGAGGGCATCGACATCGACATCGACATCGAGGGCAGGGGGGTGGGGAGGAAACCGGGCGGGCAGACGAAGCCTCCTGGCTGGAGCATGGGGGTCCATTGGTCCTTTTGGAAGGCGAGGGGAGGGGGGAACCCCGGGCTGGAGAGAAATCATGGTGAGCGAGTGCGTTAGATTGACCTGCGGGACAGGTTGTGTCGCGCATAACGACGCGTGGCGGTCTTAGTGAATATACCCTTCCCTCTTCCCCTGGATGGCCATGCTCAAGGCAAATGTTAAAGGTGGAGGGCCAGGCGACAGGAACCGTGGATCACAAAGAGTGCAGCGCCCGTCTTTGTCGCGGAGGTGACGGGAGTGTGACGACTGTGAAACCCTTCCTGCTTCAAACACAACTCAGGTATCCAACGCGGGCAGGACACACACTGCCTCCATGAATAAGGGTGTTTCCATCTCACTAGCCACGACCTCACTGCGTCACGAGGAGGGTATATGCGCTAATGGGCGGCAGAGAGACGACACTCACTCGAAGACATTGCCATTTTCACCATGCGTGTGTCTGAGCTGAAAGATTGTCTCTCGGGTCTTCCATTTCTGTCGCGCAGAGAGAAAGCGCGTGCGTTGGTGGGAGGCAGGGACGGAGGAAAGCAGGGAGGACGTACAATGAGGAGCTCGGCCCTCTGGTCGGAACAGAAGGCGGCGAGCGCGGAGAGGTTGATCCGGGTGTAGTCGGCGGGGGCGCTCAACTCGTCGGGGGACGGGGCGCGCGCCTGGGACGATGTGGAAGGGGTGATTGGGGACTGCATGGTGGTCACTCGGAAGGATGGCGCGGGGGACGAAAGGAGTCGCGGGCCCGGGGCAGATAAAGGGGGAGGTCGAGCCGCAAGCGTGACCGGGCGGCTGGCCACTATCTCGCCGTCTTATACGACGATCGACGGCGGAATCTGCGACACATTCAGCCCTCGCGCCTGTGGCAGAACTTGGCTCGCCTGATCCATCTCCCCCACGCGTGTGCCGGCTGCCTCGTTCCGAGCCCATTCAGGGCGCGCCTCGCGCACACGGCACGCTCACCACTCCGCGCGTCTTGCTTTCCTTTCTTGTTGCCGCCCGTCCGACTCGCCTCACCACCGAACCACGATGCCGCTCACTAAGCAACAGGCCGACGACGAGGAAGTTCATCTCGCCAACGTCGTCACGACGTTCAAGCAGTACGGCCCGTATTCCGTGCGCCTTTCCTCCACCGCCTTCCGAACGCGAACGCTCACCAAATTCACGCCAGCTAAACGCAAACAACAGGCGGCGAAAAGACATACACACCCTACCGCTAGCGGACCGGGAACTGCTCAGCTTGTTGCCGTACAAACAACGCATCACGGACACGGACAATGCAATCCTCGCCAACGCCCAGTTCCTGGACGCCGTCATTGCCAGCCCCGAGATCTTCAGCCAAGGGCCCGGAGATGCCGAAGACGAATTCAACGAGGACGACCCTGAGATGCGAGGGAACGACCAGGGGGACGTGGATGACGGCGATCACGCCCAACTGTCGCAACCGTCGCAAAGTACTCGCATCCGCCTGCCCTGGCCACAGGCGCTTAATAACCGCAGAAATTTCAGGTCCCCCACATGGCCATGGCCACAGCCACGAACACTCCCATTCTCACTCTCGCACACACGACCACGATCACGACCATGGAGGCCACTCGCACTCTCATGGCCACTCCCATGGCGAGCCGCCGAGTGGCCCAAATGTGCGGAAAGCGGAGTTCAAACCGTCAGAACACGATATGGAGAAGCTTCGCAGTACCCTCAAGCAGCTCGTCCGAGATTGGAGCGCGGAGGTTTATGAATGCACTTTACTCTGGTTATACGCGCTAATCATAAATTTACAGGGTAAGATCGAACGCGATGCGTGCTACGAGCCCATGAAAGATGCACTTCTCCAGCACTTCTCGGACATCCCGCAGGAAGAGAGGTCAGTCTTATATCCCCTGCCCAGAACCCTGCTCTGATGCGCTCAGCCCTTCAGAGGGAACTTCCGCGTTCTCGTGCCCGGCTCTGGTCTTGGTCGACTTGCATGGGACGTTGCAAATCTCGGTCTGTACCGCGCGATCTGCTACGCATACACTCACTGATCTGCACCATCGGGACAGGTTTCGGGTGCCAGGGGAACGAATTCTCGCACTATATGCTCCTCACTTCGTTCTACATGCTCAACAGGTTCCATTTTCTCTCCCGATGCCCCCGAGCATGACTCACACGTCTCTCCTCAGGACGGACCAGATCGAGAAGCACACAATCTACCCATATGTCCACTCGTTCTCCAACATACCAGACCGCGCCGCTCTCCTTCGCCCCATCAAGATTCCCGACGTCTTGCCATCCTCGCTCACCCCAGACACGGACTTCTCACTTGTCGCCGGAGACTTTGAGGAGATCTACGGCAAGAAGAGCCCGGGCAGCGACGAGCCCGAGGAGGGCCACTGGGACGCCGTCATGACGTGCTTCTTCATCGACACGGTGCGTCACCCGCCTGTCGCTCGTCTCGTGTGGGTCAGCCTCGCGCTGACTTTCGACTGCGCCCAGGCGAAGAACGTCGTGAACTACCTGCGCATCATCCACCACATCCTCGCCCCGGGCGGGGTGTGGATCAACCTTGGCCCGCTGCTCTGGCACTGGGAGAACAACAACACGAACGACCCGTCGGTAGAGCTCACGCTCGAGGAGGTCAAGGAGCTCGCGCGCAAGATCGGGTTTGAGATTTCTGTAGGCTTTCGTTGATCGGCTGATGCGACAAGGCGGCTGACCAGGGCGCCCGCGCTTTTGCTACAGAACGAGCGCACCATTGACACGACGTACACAAACAACGCGCACAGCATGCTGGGATACGTCTACCACGCCGCGTTCTGGACTGCTACGAAAGTGATCTGAGCGGTATGTACGAGCGTGGATGCTTTCGCTGCTATCTTTCGAGCCAAGCCGTTGACGTCGCGTCCCCAGATAAACCTGTAGCGAATTTCAATGTATCCCTACGATAGCCTACGCAACCGTCCACCACCTATGCGCGCTCACAGCGCAAGAAAAGTGTCACGGACACTGCACTCTCTCAGACGATGATAGCCCACAACAGAACAGAGACCCGGATGTTTCCGCCGCATACGTCAGCCCATTCGTGGCTCCTCTCAACCCATTCCTGGCCAATCAGCCAAATCGTTGACACGGCTGTCTAAGATGGGCATCCTCGGAACGAGGTCCCCAACCGACATACGGGTGGCTTCGTGGGCGCGGGCGCGAACCTCTCCGCGTCCGCACTTCCTGATGGCGGGTGCGTCTTCTTGCTCTGGGCCTTCACGCGGACGGCCGTGCACGGGCCTGCTTCTACGTAATCGATGAACCACAGAAGGTCATGGGAGACCTGCGGCCTGAGCCCTGCGGCCTGAAGGGCCCCTGCGTGGTTCCTGGCGGCCACGCGGCTGACCTCTTCGGTCTAGTGTCCAAGCACTCAGCCTCGCCCATCCAGGACCCCGCATCGATGATCAAAGAAGCTCGAAGCAGTCCTCACACTGAGACAAGAGCAGGTATCGACAACGGGACAAGAAACCGAACGCCGTGGCTGATAGGGCGCGCCACCGGCCGGCGCGTGTTCCCATGGACCCACATATCCCTTGTTCCAGCCTCTGTCAGAACCACCGTGATGGCGATAGGTACACACCCACAAAGGACTTCTGGCTGCCGTTGTGATCGCTGCGCGCATCGGTTGTTCCGGCCTTTTGTTCGCGCGCAGGTATATAACCAGCCCCCGCCTCTCTGTCTCGCCCGGCCTCTCTCTCCTCCACGGCCCCCATAATGCCCCTCCAAATCGAGCTCGCGCTGATTTTGGCGCGATGCCATGGGTCGGTGAACGTCCTCCTTCTCCCGCCTCTACTCACTCGTTGCCACTCGCCGCTGACCACGGCACAGCTCACGCCTTTCAAAACCCAAACGGTACGACGGCACGCCAGGGAAGTCCGCCGAACCGGCGCGCATACATCCCGCTAAAGGCATGCCCCTGTACACATGGACGCGCGGGGAGCGCTCCGAGCTGACCATATGTCCAGCGATGTAGGGCCGACTACGTCCGCACAGGTTCCAAAGACGACCTTTGCAGGCCGCCAAGAAGCATTTCAAATTCATACTGGTGCCCAAACAACCTCCCGGCCCGGATTTCCGTTTGATTTGTAGGACCCACACTCTACATGACAGGAACGACGGGCTTCGTCAAAACCTCACTCTTATTACACTCACGGGATCTGGAGACCCGACTTGACGGCGGGACGTTCCTTCATCCGCTCGGTCCAAGCCTACCCGAGCGACGAGAAGCGTCAGCGGACAACGACAACCATCAGACAAGTACGGCCCACCTTGACGTCTGGGAACTCGTCCAGGGTCTCAACTCCGGTGAATGCGTGGCCGTTCACCCTGCGATGCAAAAAAATACGAGAGCGTCAGCCCCCTGTACAAGGACAAGCCAGCAAAGCAAACGCACCACGGGAACGCGTTCATGTCGGCAAGACTATAGGTGCCCCGCGCGGGCCCCGCGAGCCAGTCGCGGCCAGCCAGGCGGAGCTGGAGCACACCGAACAGGCGGCGCGTCTCGTCGACGTAGCCTGCGGGACGCCAGCGGGTGCCGGTCAGCGTGCAATGCCCGCACTTCTCGACCGTAGAGCCCGAACTCACGTTTCTTTGCGTACGGGATGTCTTCAGGTGCGGCGTTGAGGAAGTGCCCGGCTGCGCCAACGCGGATGATGAGGCGATCGTCAGCGGGCGAATGGGCGAATGGGTAAAAAGGCGATCAAGACAGGTGGTACGTACCCTGGCCTTGCATCGGACCAAGACCGCCGTGCTGCAGAGACGAACAGCCGGAAGTGGGAGTGGTCAGCAACGGCGTTGAAGCGTTCGAAGCGCGTCCGGGCTAAAGTCACTCACGGCGAAGAAGATCCACTGGAGCATCTCGCTCCAGTCGTCCGCGCGCGTGGCGGGGTCGAACGCGAACTTGGTCGTCGTGTCGTAATGCTGCTCGAGGTAGAGCAGGATCGCGGCGCTCTCGAAGACGGCGAAGCCGCCGCGGTTCGGGTCGACGAGGGTCGGGATGCGGCCGTTCGGGTTCAGCTTGAGGTACCACGGCTCCTTCTGCTCGTTCTTGCCGAGGCTGATGGGGTGTACGCTGCAGGAACCCAGTAAGAAGTGCTGAGAAAAACGAGGCCAAGTGGAGGAGCAGGGCGTACTCGTAAGTGAGACCGTACTGGGCCTTGAGCTCTTCCAGGAAGATGTGGGTCTTGCGCCCGTTTGGAGTGCCGGCAGTGTATAGCTGGAGCGGCTTGCTCGACGGAGAGGTGGCGGTGGAATACTGATGGTTCGACATGATAGCAGGACCACTTGTTGAGGAACGAGCAAGACTCCTCGCTGCACCGGGAAATGCGTGTGTCAGCCAGAAAGGAGTGCGGGACAACAATGACGTCATCGAACTGTACGTCGTTTGTGGACGGCTTTTCAGGACCGAAGACAAAGAGAGAAACTGTTGGAACAGGGAGTCAAAGTGGATATCTTCTTGCAGAGGGAAGGAGATGAGGAGAAGAGACGTTCAAGGGATGGATATACAATGGCGCAATTCGCTGGCATTTCAAACTCGATGTGTCAGCGAGTCGAAATCCTTGCGAATCCTTCGCACTCCACCGGGGGTCGTGGGAGGGTATCAAATTAGAAAGACGGGGATTATGCTGCAGGTCAGCGCGCGAGACGATGGATGCATACTGCATGACGTCGAGAAGCCGTACACGACGCGCACAGCGGGGGTTCGAACTCGCGCGCGTCACGGGCGTCAGCCGCATGGGAAAATCCCTCAACGCCACGCAATCTTCACTGAGCTTTCAAGCTTAGCTTCAGATCTCAGATCTCATATGCTCTCGGGCTTGGCTTGCGCACTTCCTCCAGACTCGATTTGAAATTTCACAATTGCCGTCACTCCCACAGCGTCTCTCAAATGCTGAAGAGGTGCGTCTCTTCTTCTCTTCTGCTGTGCCTGCGCACGGGGGCCGCCTCTGCCAACACACCTCGTCAGACACGGCAGCGGTCCTCACAAGTCACCAGGGCACGCTGAGGGGAGCTACGGCCACAAGTGCTTAACTTTGGTGCCGACAACACTTCCCCGACACTTCGGCGCTCGCCGCCCACGGAAACGAAAATCATGTTGGATCCGCGCACGGTGACGCCGTGGCGGAGCCCGCTCTAACTGGATGGTGCCTGCCTGCAGCTTCGCTTCCCCGGCTACTACCAATCGTCCTTCGCTACTTACGTTACTTTGGTCAGTACTACAATTCAACCATCTCCACGCAGGCTGACTCTGACCATCCGTCGCACTAGACCCGTGTAGTTGGCTGTAATCCGGACACCCTGAGCTGGCCCATGGCAGTGTCCCATGGTGCTTTTAGCATTCTACTCATAACGCGGGTCTGGGGATCGCGTCTGGGTCACACTTCGGTTCCCCCTTAAGCGGTCGTCGTGGGGCGGCAGGCTGCTGTCATTGATGTGTACATAACGCGGGCACGATGAGGCTCACAGGCTGTACTCCTCCAGCACCCGTTTCCACTCTCCCGCCCCCGATCCGCTCAGCGCTGCCCTTGGCGCTGCCCTGGCTGCCTGCGCGGTTTGGTTCTCCCTCAAGGTCGCTCGGTAACAGGCGGGAAGGTGGAGGCCGGGCTGTTCAGGAGAAGGCGGTCATGTCGGTCTTGAAGGAAATTGCGGAGGCGGGTGGCGATCAGTTGGAAGAATTGAGGTTGGTCAAGGTGAGCAAGTCCCAGTCACAGTAACCTCTCCTGTGCGACTAACGGTTCTTTCGCCTGACAACAGTATGCCATTGGTACGTGAGCTCGTCGGTGATCGCCCGAAGGAAGTCCAAGTGAGAAGCTCATTGAATCTCGGACGCTAGTTGTGGCCGCTACATGGACTGTGAGTCCCGATCGGGCGTGATTTGATCGTGAATTCCGACAAGTTCATATCATGTGCAGTGGGCAGAGATATGCGTGAAAATGGAGGAAGAGGTGAGCTCTCTCTTTGACAGACATGCAATTCCATCTCATTGAATGCGTTCCTTGACCGGCAGATCACCTACATTTGGCCTTCCCGCATAAGTTTCATGAAGGTCCTTTACTTTTATAATCGTTACTCGCCTGTAGTGGACACGACATTTGCGCTCGCGAGTAGGTCAACGTCACTCATGCACTTGGCTCAGTGTCTTACTCCCAATGATCTCGATGCAGGTTCTCTGAGCAACGTTGGCAATCACAGGGTATGTCTGCGATCCATACTATCCACTCAACGGTCTTCTCATTGCCTCATAGCTGTGTACAGCCGAGTTTACAGTCTTGGCATGTGAGCAGCAGAACTTCATGCCGACAAACACGACTCACTGACCTGCGTGCCAGTCTTTTACGCCACCGGGACATTTGCCTCGGAATGTACGTTCTCGTTTCATTGTCACCACTGCTTTCCGGGGTCCCATTGACCATCGGCACAGTCATCCTGATAGCACGGACTCTCGCTCTCTACAACTTCCATCCCTTCATGATTGCTCTCGCATGCGCTCTTGTTCTCCTCACGGTCGTGAGTTACGCATCTGAGTTTCGTGTGTACGTGCTGACGCTGCTCAGGTCCCAACTACTATAGAGTCCATTCGATTTCTCTTCCCTCTCGCATGTGAGTAGCGCCGTCTGGTGTCTTGCTCTGTTCCGCCCTCATATCGTTGACGAGACCAGATCCTGGTGACGACATCATCAAAATTACCGGATGCGTACCAAGCGTGGACGATATCGGCTCGGCCTGGATATTCTACATCTGCCTCTTCATTTCCGAAACAAGTAAGCGTCATGTGCACTGTGATCCTATGATAGCCACGCTTACGTCGCTTCTTCCCGCAGTCATCGTCTTGTTGACATTCTTTCGACAGTGGCAGACCGGCACGGAGAGAGAGGGGCTGCTCCGACGGCTATTCCGCTGGGGTGGACCGGACACACAAACAGACTCCACCCTGTCTATGCCGCGGTCACACCGGTCTCCGCTCGTCAAGACCATGTATCGGAACAGTGAGCGTCTCGACTTTGACCGCACGTATCCGCTTACGCCGTGTTAGGCTCTATATACTACGTCATCATGCTAACCCTCTCTATCATCAATCTGGTGGCGACGAACAAGGCTGGCGTAAGGCGACTCTCGTCCACCCTGCACAAAACCGCCGCGCTGACCTCAACCACTCCCCAACAGCCCGCCCTCCGCCCTGTCATCCAGATGTGCGCTCGTGTTTACTTCTGTTGCGCACGGAGCCGCCGTCACTCACCTCGAGCTCCACAGGCCGTTCCGCGCAGTGCACTCCGCGCTGTGCACGCGCGTCCTCCTCAACCTCCGCCAGGTCGCCGCCCAAGGCGCCTCGCGCACGATGCCAGACTTTACAGTCGCGACCCTCAGCGGCCTCTCGTTCCGCGATCCCAACGCGGACGGGCGCACACGTCTTGAGGGACTTGAGGAGCACACGCACCGGGGTGGGAGCGACGACGCCGTCCACGTCGAGCTCGAGCTCGAGGCTCTCTCGAGTCGTGGGCGCTCCACAGATCTGTCGCAGGACATGTACATGGGGTAGCTGGGAGTTAATTACTTGACTATAGTCGCGGAGGGGCGCACACGTCTTGAAGGGCTTGAGGAGCGCCCGCACGGCGGCGAGCGGGGTGGGAGCGACAACACCCGCGTCGAGCTCGAGCTCGGGACTGTCTCGAGCCATAGGCGCTTGATATCGCAGGACTGAGGGCATGGGGTAGCTGGCGTTGCTATGCTATACGGGAGTTACAGTGTTTGGTGTGCATGTCTCGGGTCTTTCTACACGCGTGGCATTGATTTTTGGATACCACATCCTATTATTGCCACCCAGCCACTTCGTTGATCATGGCACGGTAAGTACTAGTACTATGTCCACGCGCGGGCCATCGCGATGGCCCGGCACCAAGTCTGAACCCGTTCATCGGACGAGCGCGAAGTCTCCCCGCAAGCTGGCAGTGCCACGAACTACATAAGTACAGTCATTGACCGGTCCTTGAGACACCACCACTCCTTGATACAGTCCCCTTTTCCTCTTTGCAGAGGCGTTTTAAATTCTCCATAAATTTTCCATTGTATAGGCAAAAAATGGCACTAGTTTGAAAGAGGCAATTGCCCAGATGAGGAGGGCTTTCCATGTCGCCACAACCCAGTATATCTGATTTCACCGCAGTAATGAAATGTAAAATATAAGTTGCGAGGCAACATAAAAATAGTGCCCCCGGTAGCGTCAGTATTCTCATACGAATACCTATGTGTTCTCTCTCGTTTATTTTAGAGGCTGCGCGATGTCTCTTCATGGATCCCGGATGACCGGTGACGATGCGAGCGCCCAACCGGTGCAAACGGGCGCCTTCATGACAACAAATTAGACGCGACGCGCCTGGTCGCGCTGCAACGCGTCTTTAGAGTGCTTGTGTTGCCTTGCTCTCATCGTTGACCCCGTATACGGAGGTCAGGGGGACAGAGAGGACGAAATCAGCAGTGAGGACAACATGAGGACAGTGCAGAGAGCTCGACAGAGTGACACACCGGATCGATACATGTCGGCGCCGTCGTGAGAGTTAACCCGATTAGGCATCAGCAAAAGTGCGGAGCGCATGGGAATAGCTTAGAATGCCTAGAATTCCTCAGGATTCCCAGGATTCCAAGGTAGACAGGTGTCATGTTGGGAATGCTTTCGTTGTCGAAGATTTTATTGAAATAGGGCGAGGATACCATCAGATTGGCTCGGAATTCCCAGAATACGCTGCGGTATTCTGAGGCATCCCAGGGATCCCAAGCAATCTTGAGCATCTGGAGTGATCCGAGGGATTGTGATACACGGCGTCATCCTCGGGTATCGGAATCGGCTCGCGCGGGGTGCAGGAAATCTACCGGCGCTTTCCCAGGTGGACTGCACCGATCCGGCGATTCAGACCAGAGCATACGCGCGAAATATGAATTGTAATTGGGAGAAGCACTGAACTACAAGTACATGAGGAAATATCGAACATGGGGCTAGGTGCAGTGTTCACGCGACGACATACGCGTCTGCGCGAGCGACCCGTGTGCGAGCGGATCGACGCCGCGACGCTGTAGAGGAGGACGCCATCTGCGCCCGGGGACTTTTCCAGCCGCGCTATCATAAGCGCCTCCCCTTTAAGGCTGGGTCACATCAGCCCGCAGACCGTGCCACTGTGGAAGTAAATGCACGCATGCCAGTCACGAGTTTGAACGAAGTAAACGTGACGGAGAAGGGGCGTACCGCAGAGAGAGCGGGCCGGGCGAGAGCAGAGGACCCGAGCGCAGGGCGCAGAGCGTGGAGGGCAGAGGACACGAGGGCGGAGAACGCGAAAGCAGGCTGCAGGCGAGAGCGGAGGACATTGAGGCGGAGAACGTGAGGCGGAGGACACGAGGAGGACGCAAGCACAGAGGGCGGAAGACATGAGCACAGAGGGCGAGAATACGAGGGTGGCGGATGGAAACGGAAGACATTGATGCGAGGGCGGGCCGCGGAGAACATGAGGGTGGAGAACATTCTCCGCCTCGCGTTCTCCGCCTCAACGTCCTCCGCACTCGCGGTCGAAAGAAGTCGATGTTGACCTTTAAACAAGTCGATCCGCTGTCCACAGGCACCAAGCGCAAAGAGTGGGAATCAAAAGCGGCACGAGGAGAGGCGACCCGATGCTCATGTCCTCGACAGCAGAGCGCCAGCGTTGCGAGCGTCACCGCGCCCGTCTCGCGCTACCACCGCTCAGCGGCCTCGTCCAGAAACTTGCTCCGCGTTCTTGCGCTCGCCCGCCCGCTGGGTCGCGGTGCCCGCGCTCCACCCGACTTCGCCCGCGCCGACCGCACGCCCCTCGCGGAGCCGCTCGAGCCCCCGCACGATCGCGGCGCGCATGTCTGTGTCGCGTGCCTCCTGCTCGGGCCCATCCGGGAGGTGAAATGTCTTCCGGTTGAAGGGCGACTGGTTCTCTGTCTCCATGGTGCGCGAGAGACACTGGGCCTCGTACATACGGAGTAAGCCACGGCAAGCGGTAAGTTTGCATGGTCACAAAGCGGTATCAAGACATACAGTGGTAGCAGCCCATGTTCATTCGATGACGTCCTCGGTATCCCATCGCAGGCGGACCAAACACGGTCTTGTACCGGGTGAACAGAACCTGAGAGCTGTAGAAGGTAGAAATACCAGCACGTCGTATGGATCGAAGAGCCAAAGAGAAGTGGAAGGCGAGCTTGCACCTGTGCGATACGCGGACGGGAGTGCAGGACACGACGCGCCGCTGCATGGAGGATCCTACGGGGGACGTGGATGCATCTGCGACGCGGCGGCCTGACAGAGTCGACTACGTAAATACATGTGTGGCGTGCGCCGTGCGATGCCGAGACGTCTCTGCGGGCGGAGAAACCAGGAGCCGACGAATGTCGTGAGGGGGGCCGTGGAGAAGAACATGAGCTAAAGTCAACGTGAAACAAATAAGAACGTACGGGCGCAGCGGGGTGCAAAATCAAAGTTGAGAGAGGTGCCAAGAGAGATCCTTGAATGTGTGAGCTTGTAGAGAACGTGAAAGCAGTGTAGGCCACTACAAGAGGAGGGGGCATGGGCGCCGGAGAAGTGCGTGAGTGAGCGGATGCGTGGGCGGCGGAACTACCAACCAGCATGGTTCTGTCAAAGCGCCATTGACGACACCGCAGTGCGTGGTCGTCGTGGGGACTGTGCTGTGCGTAGACGGAATGCCAAGTGAGGGCCCGGAAGTCCACGGCGCATCACCAGTCCCTGCCGGATGACCCGAGCGCAGTCTCAAAGAAAAGTAGGGGAAGGCATCCACTACTGTTAGTGGGGTAGCGAACAAGGCATGCGTACATAGCTGTAGCCTCAGATCTCATAAGCATCGCGGTCGCCGAAGTACTGGCAACTTGACGGGGCTCCGAGAGCCTGCGCTCATTCCAGCCGGTGCTTGTCACTGGTCGAGAAAGAGCGGCGCCGATGTTTGGCGCTGGCGACGTGCAAGCGTTTTCAGAAATGACGCCCAACCAACTCCGTCGCGCCCCGCTCGTTGTGTTGCTTTTTTCACAGCCTGGCCACGCCCCGAGCCATTGCGGTACCATCGGATGGCATTCGAATGCTCAGGATGGCGCACGTGCATCCCAATTCGGTGCCACATCCCAAGCGAATATTGGGCAATTCTAATCGCATTCTAATAGCCGGGCCGCCATCCCGGGAATTCCAATGCCTGGGATCCTTACCTGGCGGAACGCACTTTTGCTGATGCTATGTAACTGGATGGTGCCTTACCGCTACTTCGTCCTTCCACTCTTACGTCACTTGGTTAGTACTACGAATCTTTCAAGATCTGTCCAACATCCCCAGGCTCAACCCAGGCTGACTCTGATTGTCTGTGCACTCGAGTCTCGACCATTGTATATGCCTATTGGTACTAGCTGTAATCCAGACGCCCTGAGCCGAACATATGACGGTGCGCTATGATGCTTTATCCTTATAAGTACTCATAGCTTGGCTCCGAGGATCCGGTCTGGGTGACACTTCGGTTCCCACTTAAGCGGATGTCGTGCGGCGGCAGGCTGCTGTCATCGACGTCTACATAACGCGGACACGATGAGGCTTACCGCGTGTGCTTCCCCCCGCACCCGTTTCCACTCTCCCGCCCCCGATCCGCTGCCCTTGGTGCTGTGCTAGCTCCCTGCGTGGTCTGGTACTCCTTCAAGATCGCTCGGTTCCAGGCGGGAAGGTGGAGACGCGGCTGTTCAGAAGAAGGCGGTCATGTCGGTCTTGAAGGAAATTGCAGAGGCGGGTGGCGATCAGTTGGCGGATTTGAAGTTGGTCAAGGTGAGCAAGCCTCGGCTGCAATCGCTACTGTGTGACTAAAGCTTCCTCCGCCTGACGACAGTATGGCATTGGTGCGTGAGCTCAATGGCGATCGTGCGAAGGAAGACCAAATGGGGAGCTCATTGAATCTCGGATGCTAGTCGTGGCGGCTACGTGGACTGTGAGTCCCGATCGGGCGTGATTTGATCGTGAATTCCGACGAGTTCCTATCACGTGCAGTGGGCAGAGATATGCGTGAAGATGGAGGAAGAGGTGAGCTCTTTAATAGACATGGAGTGTCCGGCAATTGAACGCTCTCTTTGACCGGCAGATCACCTACGTTTGGCCTTCCCGCATAAGTTTCATGAAGGTCCTTTACTTTCATAATCGTTACTCGCCTGTAGTGGACACGGCATTCGCGCTCGCGAGTAGGTTAACGTCACTCATGCATTTGGCTCGGTGTCTCACTCCCAATGATCTCGATGCAGGTTCTCTGAGCAACGTTGGCAATCACAGGGTATGTCTGCGATCCATACTATCCACTCAACGGTCCTTCTCATTGCCTCATAGCTGTGCACAGCCGAGTTTCAAGTCATGTCATGTGAGCAAAAGAACTTCGTGCCGACAAACACGACTCACTGACCTGCATGCCAGTCTCTTACTCCAGCGGGTCGTTTGCCTCGGAATGTACGTTCTCGTTTCATTGTCACCACTGCTTTCCAGGGCCCATTGACCATCGGTACAGTCATCCTGATAGCACGGACTCTCGCTCTCTACAACTTCCATCCCGTCATGATTGCTCTCGCATGCGCTCTTGTTCTCATCATGGTCGTGAGTTACGCATCTGAGTTTCGTGTGTACGTGCTGACGCTGCTCAACGCTCAGGTCCCAACTACTGTAACATCCATTCGATTACTCTTCCCTCTCGCATGTGAGTAGCACCCTCTGGTGTCTTGCGCTGTTCCGCCCTGATATCGTGGACGAGACCAGATCCTGGTGACGACATCATCGAAATTACCGGATGCGTACCGAGCGTGGACGATATCAACTCGGCTTGGGTGTTCTTCACCTGCCTCTTGATCTCCGAAACCAGTAAGCGTCATTTGCACTCTGATTCTATGATAGCCATGCTGACGTCGCTTCTTCCTGGAGTCATTGTCTCGTTGACGTTCTTTCGGCAGTGGCAGACCGCCGAGGAGAGAGAGGGTCTGCTCCACCGGCTGTTGCGCTGGGGCAGACGGAACATGCAAACAGACCCTACTCTGTCTGTGCCACGGTCACACTGCCGGTCCCCGCTCGTCGAGACCACGTATCAGAACAGTGAGCGTCTCGACTTCGGCGGCACGTATCAGCTCACGCAGTACTGTTAGGCTCTATATACTATGTCGTGATGCTCATCCTCTCCACCATTAATCTGGCGATGACGGCCACGAATAACGTAAGGCGGTTCTAGTCCATCCTGCACAAAACCGCCGTGCTGACCCGGACCGCTCCCCCAACAGCCCGCCCTCCGCCCTGTCCTGCAGATGTGCGCCCGTGTTTGTTTCTGTTGCGCACGGAGCCGCAGCCACTCACCTCGAATTCCACAGGCCGCTCCGCACGGTGCACGCCTCGCTGTGCACGCGCGTCCTCCTCAACCTTCGCCGGGTCGCCGCCCAAGGCGCCTCGCGCACTATGCCAGACTTTACAATCGCGACCCTCAGCGGCATCGCGGTCCGCGATCCAAACGCTGAGGGGCGCACACGTCTTGAGGGACTCGAGGAGCATCCGTACGGCAGGGAGTGGGGTGGGGGCGAGAACACCGTCCACGTCGAGCTTGAGCTCGAGGCTCTCTCGAGCCGGCGTGGACGCTCGAGTCTGTCGCAGGAGATGTAGATGGGGTACCTGACATTACTTTACTATAATACGCGAACACAGTGTTGAAGTACATCACTATCGTTAGACTAGATTCCTTTTACTTTCACCTGACTCTTGTATGCACCGCGCTGAGCAGCAGTGAATCGTCAGGAGCATCTGTTGCCATAGCCTATCGGCAGCTACAGATGCACCTGGTGATCCGTGATGCGCGCCCGTGTAGACGCGCCTTGGCGGGCGGCAAGGACGAATGGCGCGCATCAACGCGTGGCTGTGATGCACGCCACGCGTCCCCTTCGCCGTCCTTGCCCTCCTCCTCTTCCTCCTCCTCTTCCTCCTCCTCCACCCTCGTCGCCCCCAGCCTCCCCGCTCTGCCCAGGTAGACGATAGCGACCATATGGTCGACTGTCGCCTGCTATTGGACTCCGGTGTCACCAGGTGACACCGACCTCCCGACCTCCCGACCTCCCGACCTCCCGACCTCCCGACCTCGACCTCGACCCCGCCCTTCAGTCACCTTCCCGGCCACTCTCACAACAAACACACCGCGCGAGGACGTCCATGCGGACGTCCTCAATATGGAGATTGGAATATGGGAGCCGCGGCGATGTACCGCGGCCCTTTGTTTTAGTGAGTTCTCCGCTCCGTTCTCCTGCACTCCCAACGCCCACCCATGCCATGACAGGCCTGAGGACGTCCGCCCGACCCTCCCGTCGCTCTCCTCCTCCGCGTCGCCCGCCCCCGCCACCCGCCTTTGCGTCGCCCTCCTCCTCGCTGCCCTCTTCCTCCTCGCCCTGCTCCGCCCACCCCTTGGCCATCTGCGCCGCCGCGTTGCCCACCACCTTCATCTCCCCCTCCTCCGCGTCGTTCCAGCCCATGTCGCCTCCTCCGTGTCGCCTGCCTCCGCCTCGCCCTCGTCTCGTCCGCCCTCGTCTCGCCCACGTCCTCGCCCTCCCCCTTTGCGTCACTCGTCGCCGCCTCGCCTTCTTCCGCGCCCGCCTCCTCCACGCCCACTTCCTCCGCGCCCGCCTCGCCGCGTTACCCTTCTCCACCCACCTCGCCGTCCGCCTGCGCCTCACACGGGTCCCCCACGCCTGCGCCACCGGGTCGCCCTCCTCCGCGTTGCCGTTCTCCGCCCACATCGCCATCCACCTGCGCCTGGCCTGCGTCCTCCCGCCTGCCTGCCTCCTCCGCGCGCGCCAGGCGCGCCTTCGCCTGGCCGCGTCGCCCTACTCCGCGTGCGCCTCCTCTTCGCTCGCCTCCTACATGCTCGCCTTGCCCGCGTCCCACACGCTCACATCCCCCACGCCCGCCTACCGCCTCCGCGCCCGTATTGCCAACCTCCCCGCGTTGCCCGCCTCCATCCGCGTCGCTCCCATCCGCCCGTGTCGCCCACCCGCACCCACCTCCGCCTCTGCCTCCACATTGTTGTGGGGCGTAGTATTACTCGCTAGCCCACCTGTGTAGTAGTTTACTGATAAATATATTTGATCACTAATCATATACAAAGTGTGGTGTGAAACAAAAAGGAAGGTGAGCTCACTGTCAGAGACGGTGAGCTCAGGTGGCAGGACCCGAGGCGCCAGTATCTGGACGTCTCGGGGCAGTGTCGCGCCCATGTGGCCGGCGGCTGCGTGGGGAGCGCAACCGGGCCGGCCGGATCAACAGGTGCATCCGCACCTGCTGATAGGCTATGGTAACAGATGCACCTGATGATTCACTACTATAGCCGCGCTCGACTAGACGCGCTCGGCTTCCGCTTATGGCTACGCTTACATAATGTGTGCGTCCGCTCCCTTCGACTCGCTGTCGCAGGGGAGCCACATAATTAAATTAGTGCACGCGTCTGTTCACTTCAATCACAGATAATCTTTCATTGGGTGCCCTGCTACAGTATGTGGATCACATACAAGTATTACCTTGTTGATCATGTAAGATTAACATTCAAACACTTGCAAGGAGGACGACTAAATGGTCACGCCGTGACTACAGTGGTGATTCACCAGGTGCATCCATTGCGATAGCCTATCGGCAGGTGCGGATGCATCTGGTGCCGGCCGGCCCGGTTGCGCTCCACACCGCGGCCCGCCTTCCCCGAGCGCGCACGGATCCCGAGCGGACACCGGCACCTCGGGCCCTGCCACCTGAGCTCGCCGTCTCCGACGGTAAGCTCGCCTCCCTCTTTGATTCACACCACATCTTGCATATGATTAGTGATCGAAATATATTTATTAGTAAACTACTACATAGGTGGGCTAGTAAGTAAGCCACGCCCCACGACAACGCGGAGGCAGAGGCGGAGGAGGGTGATGGCATCAGAAAAACCTGCACAGCCATTAACGGTACTTACCCAGTGCATCCAGGGCGTTCAGAGCTGTTTCAGGGGTGGATCAGGAGCTAAGGACTGCGATTTTCAAGTACTACTAATGACCGTGTTAAGTACTGGGTGCCGGACGGGTTCGAAAACTCTCAGGACCGTAAGGACACTCAGTTCCGATGCGGGACAGCACCTGAAGGTCGCCAGCGGGCTTGCAGGTGTGCTCTTTAGCTGGTAAACACGTTGTGATTGTCCAGATTAACGATAGATACGATATAACAAGGCAAAGAACGACTGAACGAGTGATTTTGTGACTATCAAAGGAGTGGGGTGAGAGGATTAGCGACTTGTGTATGTGCCAGACACGAACGAGCCGATAAATAAAGCTATGTAGCGTATGGATGAGTACGTGGCAGGACATATGGAAACGATAGCTGTGAAGGGATCGGGTTCCCGAGCGCGGGGAAGCGAGACAACTGAGGCGCATAAACCGAGCCGCGCGTGCACCGTTAGCACGACGTATCGTCAGCGGCGTTCTGTAGGACTGGAGCGACTACTGCACAGAAACGCGCGTGCATGCGCGCAGGGATGCGAGGTAGTGCGCACGCTCGAGTGGGTGTACTTGTGCGCGCGAGAGGATGCGCGACATGACTGCGGGCGGCGATACGAGGTCGCGGTGTGTGCGAGAGTGTGCGCGACAGGATTGCAGGCGAAACCGACTCGGTCAGTATATCATTTCGGGACTCTCACACAGCGGAGCACTCACCACTCATGCAGGCAGATCATCGTCGCCACGAATCGGGCTGCTAGGGAGGTCCCGCAGACGAAGGTGACCGATATGCTGGTCTGCACCAGCGGATGGGGTTTTCTTTGACCCCCTCAGGACGGGAACTCGGGGGATGTACGAGCGGGCGATCTCCAGTAGGTGAGCGAAGCGTTCGAGCTTCTCCGGGGTCGTGAGCGACTCGACGCTCTCGTACCAGATCATCGTGCTTGTGCCGACGTTTTTTTGAGAGAACTTCGGCCACTTATCACCAATCGGATTGGCGATATGTGAGCAGACCTGGTTGATCTGCCAGAGCAATAACGTAGTAAGATACTGTGAGGATCTGCAGCGGTACTGGAGCACCCACTGCAGCAGCGCACAGAGCGATGGCGCCCACAGGATGGCCTGGATAAGGCATGGAGCTTCCTTGTGTCTTCAGCAGATGGAATGCGATCGTTGTGAGCATTGGGGGCGTGTAAAAGAGCCTGACGCAATCCATCTAGACGGTTTCAGGGTTAGAACATAGCGTGTTTGGTTTCAAAGCATGAACACGACTTACGTCAGGCGGGATTCCGTAGAAGATCTCCGACGTGCGCTGGCAAGCTGAAGCGTAGCCACTGGCGCTGCCCAGCACCTTTCCGTTGATGAGACGGAACGGCTGGGTCTTTGGCACGATCCTTGAGCCATTTCTTCATCGCCTTCCTGGCGACACTGCAGATGTCATGTCGCCACTGATAAACAGCTTGGCGAGCCTGTCGTAGCGTCAGTAAGGGTGTATAGATGAAGACAGTGGACTTACGAAGCGATAGATTATGTGACCCTTCTCAATCTTGGAGACATCGCCACACGATCGCGGACAGACAGCCTTGACGACCTTGCGGACAAGGTACAGGAAGTCGGTGTCCTGCGGACCATCAATATCCCAAGGAAACGAACGGGTCCCTGTGTCCGCAATGAGGGCGGGTATGATAGACGTCTTGATGAATGGCTGGATCCAGGTCGGCAGGAGATTGAAGCGAATTGAGGGCTTCGCCTTGCGCTGACGGCCTTGCGGGTTCGAGTTGTTGGATGATCCGAGTCAGAGTCCGATTCGGAGACTCAACCCCGTCATCGGCGTCAGCCGGATACCTCGTATCTTCGTCGTCGTCACTGATCCTATAGAGATCGGCCTGACCGAGGTTGATGGAAGGCATCAGCAGCTAAGCATTCCAGTCGTACTATAAGCAAACAATAATGCACGAGATCAACACACTTACCTGCTTCTTGCTGCTCAAGAACGCCTCTCTAGAAGTGAAAACGTCATCGTCTTGAAGCCTCCTTGAATGGAGTGCCCCCACTTCGTCTTCGATATTGGAGTCTGATGATGCAAGTTCAGTACAGCAGTCAATGCATGGATAGCGAGAACATACCTCGCGTCGTTGTCGTCCGAGTCTTCCGTTGAGAACGCGGATGAGACTCCTCCGCTTCGATAGTGAGCGGAGTGCGGGATAGCTGACGCTCCGGAGTCCGCATTCCGCTTCCTCGTTTCCAGTAAGGGAGAGTGCAGCCTGACGCGACTTGAGAAGATGACCACGTCGGAACGAGACTGACCATAGACCCGCGTCTTCCGCCCCAGGGTTTTTGAGCATCGGGGTGAATACAGGCCTTACGAGGCAGTTAGCTCCGCGAACGGATGAAGAACTTGAAGAAGCTACGCACGTGTTCCGCCCTGAGTTCAAGCCCGAGGTTTCATTGACTCACTCGATGTCGCGTTGACATGGGAGGTGGCCACTGCAACACGGCAGTAGTCGAACCGCGGGGTTTCCGAGCTTGCGCGATCTCGCCTGTGACCCTCTGGCGTTTTAAGGCTCGCTGCTCAGCTTTGGATGGACGCTGGATAATAGATTGTACTCGGCATACTAGGTAGTGCAAACAGATTCAAGGTGACGTACCTTCGAGCCCGTGATCACCGGCCCTGCACTCTCCTCGTCGGACGAACTGTGGTCACTCCGTTCATTCGTCTGCTGATCCTGGGTTCGTTTCGGAGGTGTGTGTGGGGTTAGATTGTACTGGAGGGCCTCGGTTTCCGTTGGCTTTGGCTCTGGCAGTGACCAAACGAGGACCCGTCGCTGGAAGATGATGATAAGCGACGAGATCCCAGCCGAGTCGCGTACTCACACACTCGAGCGCCGCGCAACACGTGCTGACCGCGCGCAGTGTGCACTGCGCGGTGCTCTCGCTTGTACACTGACGAACAGAAGTCTCACCAATGAGTCTTTCCTCTTCGCTATCGTCTTCATCGAACTGATCCTCCAGGGCAGCCAGTCTGGTGACATGTTGTTCATGGATGCGGACTTGCTGGGCGGCGGCGGCGGCTTTGAAAGCCTCGTTCTCAGCCTTCTGTTCTTTCCTTTGAGCCCGTTCTTCCGGTGAAGGGCCAACAACACCTGCATTGACCGCTGGGTGAGTGTTTTTGTTCTTGGCGCGTGTTTTCAGCCCCTTTCGCTGAGCCTTTACAGACACATCTTAGTGTTTTACCGCACATTTGAATCATAAACTCACCTGCTCCCCGCCTGGGGGCGCCGGATTTACTTCGCCTTCCGGAGGGACGGTATTGGAGTTGGGTGCCGTGTCAGCAGCACTGTCTTGACGTACCACGGTGCGAGTCTGGTGACGTGTAGACCGAATTGAACCATGTTGAGGCGTAAGGGTTATTTCTGGTGTCGCCACAGGCATATCCTGGGCGACTCCAGAGACAGCCAGACGTTTTTTGGCCTTTTTCTTCGCAGGGGGCATGGGTATAGAAGCGATGGAGAGTGGGGACGACAGCTGGTCGCGAGGAGGAATGGTTTTTGGCGCCCAGGGACAGGCTGCAAACGTCTAAGTCAGCACCTCTGCCCGTTACAGCCTGCCCTCACGCAGTGGCGACAGGCATGCTTTGCTCCGTCTTGCTGCTGTCTGCCTCTCAGTTGAAATTTCACTCCGCCTCGACTTGTCATCTTGCCCTTCTCTTTTCTTGCTGCTTTTCACACCATGCCCCGATTTTGCGGCCTGTGCAAAAGATCCTTCGGTACTCTCCGAGGCATCGTTTGCCACACACGCAATGTCCACCGTAATCCCAAGCCACGGCCTCCCCCAACTACGCGCTACGAGCATGAAGACCTCGATGGTATGGTTTTTGTGCGAATTCGCGATCAAACAGGTTATTTACACAGGTTTTCAGCTCGTAAATGCAACGAGCACGGGCAGTTCATTGATGAAGATGCCCCGCCTCCGCAAGACGAAAACCCGCCTTCGTACCACCCTTGGCAAGACCGGCCCTCGTTCGAGTTCACAGTACTCAACTACCACGACATTCGGCTCGCGAAGGAGCCCCTCAATCAACTCCTACGGATCTGGGCGGCGAAGAGTCTCCTCGACGGCCACCCGGACGCTGGCCCACCTTTCCAGAACGTCGATGAGATGCTGGAGACCATAGACAATGCGATGTTTGGCGAAGCGCAGTGGCAGGTCTATAAAGTACGTTACACCGGCCCTATCGATGGAAACTCCCATCTTGGAAGCGCAAATCATACATGTTCTTCGCCCGAAACACCCTTACTGTCGCCGAGCAGCTTGCAAGAACGCCGACTTCCATGACAAGTTCGATTACCGTCCATTCATGGAGTTTACCCAGCCAGGATGTCGCCGTTTCTCTAACCTCATGTCTGGACACTGGTCTTGGAAAAAAGCGGTACGTTTCAGTGTTCCTTACGTCTGAGAGCCAATCTCACTGAAGTTGCATCTTAGACATACATAGCTCAAAACGTCCCCGGATCCGTGGTGCCATGCTTGTACCAATCATACTCGGAGCAGACAAGACAACGGTATCTGTTGCTACTGGAAATCAAGATTTCATCCCGTTTACATGTCTCTCGGCAATATCCACAACGACATGCGTCGCGCCCACCGCGAGAGTGTCATTCCAGTGGCATTTCTCGCAATTCCCAAAGGTACGCACTACTACCCACTATTAATGCGTTGAACTGGTCGCCGACGCCTGCTCGCACTTGGGGGTCTTTACGGCCCCGGTATGAACCCCACATCAGATGTGGCAAACTGCACATGTTCGGCGCGGTGAGCAGAATCCTATGTCCAGCTTTTCGCGCTCAACGGACCCTCTACGCGTCCACTGGGCCGCGCTCAACACATCCTGTTCACCACGCCCGTTGGGCGAGATGAGCTGGGCGTGTTGAGCGCGATGAGCTGGGCAGGTCGAGCAGGTCGAGCCAGGTCGGCAGGCGAGTTCGGCGTGGTCATTCAGCATGGCCAGCTGGACATGTTGAGTCCATCGAGGTGGGCGCGTCTCACTCGCGTCGCACTCATCCGCACCCCGCATGCCGGGGCGAGGGAAAATTTGCGATGATGCCAGTGGAGCGTAGCAGACTCGCACACCCTGCGATATGTCACATAGACTCAAACTGACTTGTTCCCTGCAGGCGACCACGACAACGGTGATGAAGAGGAGTTTCGTATATTCAAGAAGGCACTCTATCATTCGTCTCTTGTGCGAATTCTCAGCCCCTTGAACCCGGCATGACCACTCCTCATGTCATGCGCTGCCCTGAGGACACTTCCGACGCGCGATATTCGAGCTTGGTCCGTTCATCGCTGACTATCCAGAGCAAGTCTACCTGTCTGGTATCGTATCAGGATGGTGTCCGAAGTATGTCGATATCGGCGACTCGCGTTGTGACCCATATTAACCGTGATAAACACTCTAGATGTCGTGCTATGGAAACGACCTCGCGCACGAGGACCTCGCGATTCAGGGAACATACAGAAGAGCTACTGCAGACGTTCGACCCTGCCACGCTCTGGGATGTATATGGTCTGATCAAGGACGTCGAGGTAAGCCTGTCGCAGCTCGATTCACTATGATAGTACATAGTCTAACATCTCTACAGCCGTACACATATTATTTCCCTCGCGCGGACATACATGAGCTCCTATCTCCTGATATTCTGCACCAGACGATCAAGGGAACATTCAAAGACCACCTCGTAACCTGGGTCATCGACTACATCACTGAAAACGCGGCCACCCCACACGAGGCCCGCAATTCTCGATGACATGATCGCAGGTACATATACCCGTGCAGGAGTATTCTTACGGCTGACATGACTTCATAGACTGGCAGCGACCCCAGCTTCCCTGCGCTTCGACGCTTCAAAGAGGGGCTAACTTCTCGCAATGGACGGGCGACGATTCCAAGGCTCTCATGAAGGTAATTCAGTCTTCCAGCTATGTCAAGTTGTCGCTGAAGCAGATCTTTCAGATATTCCTCCCGCAATCGCTGGCTACGTTCCTGAGGCGATGAGCCAGTGCATCGCCGCCTTCCTGGACTTTTGTTACCTGCTCGTCGACCTCCCATGACACTACGTACTTCAGGCTATGCAAGACGCTCTCCAACGCTTTCATGATCTGCGAAGATCTTCCAAGATGTCGGAATCCGTCCGAACGGATTCAATCTCCCACGCCAGCACGCTCTCGTACATATGTGCGAAGCATCAAACTGTTCGGATCCCCGAATGGGCTCTGCTCCTCGATCACGAGTCGAAGCACATTGAAGCGGTCAAGAAACCTGGCGAGCATCAAACAGACGCGATCCGATATGGCAAATCCTCACCCGGAACGCACGCAACAACAAGCTGGCAGCGACGCAAGCAGAGTTCGGGCGGCGAGGCTCCTCAACGGTGACGTCTTCAGCAAGCTATGGTCGAAGCAGGTGTAGATCTGGCTCCGACGATGCTGGGACCGACGAGAGGATCACCTCGCGACCTTCAAGAACAGGCCAACACTGACGGTTTCGTGGATTCGAAAACACAGTTGCCCCAACGCCATGGTACACGCTTCCTCTGATCTTATTCTCAACAATCATGCTAATCAGCCTCTTCGTAGCTTTCAGGCGACGTCTGCTTAACGTTGCTCATCGCTTAGCATCCAGCTCAGTGAATACATTCGCCGATATCTCTACGACTACGAGTACCCAGACGCCAATCAGCCGGGAGACGCCGTCCCACTGCACGCCTGCCCGGTTATCTCACCAACCATGCACGTCTCCGTGTTCCACCATGCGGTCTCAACATTCTATGCCCCCAGCGAACTCGCGGAAACCACAGGAATGCACAGAGAGCTCCTCAGATGCAACCCGGACTGGAACTCGGGGAAAGGAAGGTACGATCCATGCTTCGTTATGACCAATCCGACCGAGATTGGTCTCGATGCCCTCACGGTGGCCCGCCTGCGAGTCTGCATATCCTTCACATATGAAGGTGTGCAGCACGAGTGCGCGCTGGTCGAATGGTTTGAGAGGGACGTACTAGATGTGGAGACAGGGATGTTGACTGTTCGGCATGAGCTCGATGCGGACGATGAGTTTGTCATGGGCATGTTCCCATAGATTCAATAGTTCGTGCATGCCATCTCATTGGCGTCTTCGCTCCGTACTCTGTGCCTAGAGATCACGAACATACGGACACTCTAGATAGACTAGAACGTTTTTATGTTAACTGGTACGCAGATTATCACGCTCACGAGCATCTTTTGTAGAGTTTGTTGTATGAATGTACGCCTCACCTCACTCTTAGCGCCTGTTCAGACCGACTTGTCTGTGTCCTTGGGGCGATTTGGCGTAGATAAGTTACGTTGGTAGAACTACTAGCTACATTTCGTTGTCTTAAAAATGGTTCCGTGATGATACTGCACGCTGTCGCCCTTTACAATGCTTGCCATGGTGGTGCGCTGGTGGGCGGCAAAACTTTCACGTGACTGTATTGATCTCGCTGCGGCGGCAGGGCATTCGAAGGCACTCATCTTCTACCTCTACTGTCACCTCCCTGCCACTTTGTGGCCGTCCACTCTTGTCTCTTCTACCGATCAATCTTCTCAAGCAATTCCCTCGACTGGAGACGACTTCCCCGCACCTCAACCCAAGTGAGATTGAAAATGTGGGAGGCGGGCAACGCAGGTATGTCCACACCGTCTCATTCCCGTCTGCACATGCCATCCCCCTCGCGGACCCGCCGCTCGTTGTTACCCGTAAGACGGTCTCCGAGTAGCTCTTCTTTGAACCTACCGCCCGATTTATACCTGCCGAGACCTATAGGTCGCTTGCTCGAGATTGGGAACTCCACCGCACTCCACGCCCTTGCACCCTCAATCATCTCCCCAACCGCGTGCGAGTGCGCCGCAGCTGTGACGAACGGGGTGCGCTGGGAAGAGGACGCGTACGCGAACAACGCGACCATGTTCTCGCGCCTTTCGGACACCCTCACGGAGACCTCGCCGCTGCCCGTGCCCGTGTGGGTCACATCGTGCTGGGTGTGGCTGCTCCACGCGAAGGATAGGCTCGTTCGTCGCCCCGTCTTTTACTCTCACCACCATCTGGGTACTCCTCACCCTGCACTACTGACCTCGAGCGTTCAAAGAATTGTATCGTTACTCTTTCCGAAGGCCGCACCTCCGCTCCACGCTCTTCTGGAGTCCGCCCGTGAGGGCGCAAACAGCGTACACGTTTCTGTTCCATGAAGTGTGCTGACCTTCCTTGTCTTGCATAATGATATGACCCCCGTTTGAATGGGAATCGGACGGAAAGGGATAGGATGCAAATTGACCACGAGCAGACACGGTCTCTGCTGAAGACCCGTCGTCCACTTGGCAGAAGTCCACGCGAAGCGACTTGTTGACGTCCAGAACCAGTGCGTATCTCCTGACTGCGCATCCACGCCTTCCCTCCACCCTGTTTTCACCCTTCACGTCTGTGGCGATTGTACGAAAGTTGACCGGGCCTGCGTTACAGCGTGCACAAGAACCAGTGCGTCGACAACTTTACGTCCACGATCCCGACGAACGCGTTCGGGCCGCACGATGATTTCGATTGGTGTGGCATGCTGAAGGGTTCGCGATGGCATATGCTCCTTGCGCCGATGTACCGGTGCTTTCAAGTCCGTATTTATTTCGTCTTTCTTGCATTCATGGCTACCAATAATGCCGCCCGTGTGTGCGTCGTGCACCCCACCACGATCAGCACCGTTGTTGCTGCTGTCGAACAGTTTCGACCCGGTTACGCTGCTCGCGCAGGCAAGGAGGACGAGGGTGTGGTGCCGCTGGTGCAGGAGAGCGTGGGGCATTGCACGATGAGCCGCACATTGATCACCACTCACGTTCCCCGTCCCACATAGGACGGCCGTGACCATTCTTGCTCGCCCCCACCCCAGCCCTGTCGTCTACCACGTCGCCATACGCCGGCTGCCAGACCCAGCCCTCCGCGACTGTGGCGACACCCTGCACGCCCTCCGCACCGTTCTCCGCACCCTCTTGTTCCTCGACCTCCGCAACCTCGCCTTCGGTCTGGCCGGCCCACTCTCCCTCGCCGCCGCCGCCGCCCACGCCCCGCTTGACACCCGGCACGCGATCTCAACGGGTGTGTCTTCCCCGCTCTCCGCACCTTCGTCCTCCCCGGTGTCGGCCGCGGCTCCCCGATCCGGACGGCGCTGCGGCGGGCGCAGTGAGTATCACCGGTGTGTTCCTTGTGCGTGCTCCTGCGCTCGAAGAGCTGCATCCACGCTGAGATGGCAGTGTATATAATGTGCATCTGTATCGAAGTGTACTAGTATTTGAATTAAGCGATTTACCGACCTTCCGAGTGTGCAGCCCTTGAATCCTGAATTTTCCTTACCACTCCTGACAGGTCTGATCACGACTTGAAGCACTGAACGCGAAACGGTAAGTAACATCAGGACTTAAGCGCCAGGCGGCTTTTACTGATGGGGGAGCGGGGCAGCACAGAGAAGGACGAGGAGGCGGAGGGCGATGTAGAGGACAAGGCAGAGGAGGGCGACGTGAATGCGGGAGACGCGGACGCGGGCGACGCAAAGGCGAGCGAGGCAGAGGAGAGTGAGGCGGAGGGCTCGCGGGGGACGCGGAGGGCCGGGACGAGGCGGAGAAGGTGGTGGGCGACGCGGGCGGGGGCACGCGATGCGAAGGGGGAGGCGCAGAGCAAAGAGGGCGGGCGACGCGGGCGGAGGAGGCGACGCAGGCGTCGGAGGTGATTGGGCCGGGACGACGCGGAGGAGGGCGGCGCGGGCAGGAGGTGCGGGGAGGAGGCAAGTGACGAGGGTGGAGGAGCGCGACGTGGAGGAGTGCGGCGACGCGGGAGGAGGAGGGTGATGCGGAGGAGGCGGGTGACACGGGCAGAGGAGGGCGGCGCGAAGGAGGCGGCAGGCAGGGGCGGCGCAGGGCGAGAAGGGCGACACAGAGGCGGATGGCGCAGGTGGGCGACGCGGACGGAGGAGAGCGGGTGGAGAGCGGCTCGGAGGAGGAGGACGTCAGGGTGGACGTCCTCGGTCTGTCGTAGGCAGGGGACATGGGTGGGCATCGGGAGTGCAGAAGGACTGAGTGGAGGACTCACCTGTCAACGGGTACGAGCACTGGCGAGCTAGCGAGAGCGCAGGGCGAACGAGCTCAGTCTCGGGGGGAAAGAAGACTAATGATATTAAAGGTAAGTACCTAGCGAGAGCGCAGGGCGAACGAGCTAGGTAACGAGTAAGTGCGTAGTCCAGAATACAGAGTATACGGATGCAGGGCTCACCTCAGTCTCGGGGGGAAAGAAGACTGAGGTGTACGTAACGTGCGAGAGCGTATATGTGACTCGGGCGAGTACGGAAAGGTAAGGTACAGGTACGAAGGACATTTCGAAATGATACGAACAGAGAGATCATATGGCACGCACCGGACCCAACTCGTCCGGGCCGGGACGTATACCGCGGTCGCGGCTTGTCGTCCAACACTCCCCCTCAAGCGCGACGGCGGAGTCCAATCAGGTGCGAGAGGAACTCCACCTTTGGCCGAACGAGAGCCTTGGTGAGCAGGTCCGCGGCCTGGTCGTTCGTCGGGCAGTATTCGACGGAGGCATCGCCCTTCCGCACGATGTCGCGGATGTGGTGGTAGCGTACCGCAATGTGCTTGGTCCGAGGATGGAACAAGCCACTCTTGATAAGGGCTATCGCGCTCTGGCTGTCGCAACAAAGGGGTGTGGGACCGCGAACGAGGGAGGCGACGAGCTCTTCGATGAGGTGGCGAGCCCAGAGGAGGTCGCGCGAGGAGTCTGATGACGCGATGTACTCAGACTCGGTCGACGACAGCGCGACGAGCGTCTGTTTGCGCGCGGTCCAGCTAACAGCGCCGCTGGCGAGCATGACGACCGTGCCGGTGTACGAACGACGGTGCTCTTGTGAGGCCCAGTCCGCGTCCGTGTAAACGAAGAGGCCGCGGCCATGCGGGTTGTCGCGGGTGCCGAACGTTAGGGCAACGTCGCGCGTGCTCTTGAGGTAGCACAAGACGTGCTTTGCGGCTTCCCAGTGAAGTGGAGCAGGGTCGGCCATGAATTGCGAAAGGACCGAGACCGCAAAGGAGATGTCGGGGCGCGTCGCGGTGGCGAGATAGTTGAGAGCGCCCACCAGCTGTGCGTAGGGGCGACGGGCCATCACGGCGCGGATCTCGGGGGTGAGATCGTACCTGTAGAGGTTGCAGTGCGGGTCAAGGGGGACAGTGACCGGCGCTGCGTCCTTGAGGTTGAAGCGGGTAAGGAGGGTGTCGACGAGAGCGCTCTGCGAGAGCGAGGTGGTCTGAAGCTCGCTGTCGCGGGTGATCTCCACTCCAAGGAGCCAGCGGACATCGCCGAGTTCTTCAATCTCGTAGCGACGCTTGATCTCGAAGGCGAGGAGTTGGAGGGCACGGCGGTTGTTGCCAGTGATTGCGCAGTCGTCGACCCAGACGACGATGAAGATTTGGATGGCGCCGCAGATGAGAAGGAACAGACCGGGGTCGAGTTGGCTACACTCAAAGCCCAGGCCTAATAGCAGCGCCAGGACGACCTTGTACCATTGTAAACCAGCTTGTTTGAGGCCATAGAGCGACTTCTTCAAGATCCAGACCCAGGATTCGCGACCGGGGACCTCGAAACTGTGGGGTTGACGCATGTAGATGGTTTCTTCGAGGTCACCATTGAGGTAAGCGTTCTTGAAGTCGATCTGGATGATGGGCCATTGGAGGAGAGTGGCGATGGCGATGAGGATGCGGACAGTGGCGAATCGGACAGTGGGGGAAGCAGTTTCGTGGTAGTCGACGCCATACTGTTGACCGAAGCCTTGCGCGCAGAGTTGAGCCTTGAGCTTCGTGACTTCGTTATGCTCGTCACGCTTCTTGCGAAGTGCCCAAACGCAGCTGATTACGTTCGCGTCACGCGGACGTTCAACCAGCTCGTACGTTCCCATCTTCTCAATCCTTTCGATCTCACTCTTCATCGCCTTCCTCCACTCCTCCTTCTCCGGTCCTGCCATGGCCTCGCGATACGACGGCTCGTCCTCGGAAGAGAGGGCGGCCAACGCGAAGATCGGCTCACCATCAAGTGCGGACCGCTCCCCCTCAAGCTCCCCCTCGTCCTCGGGCTCTAGCGCGGTCTTCGCTGTCTCTCCTCCAATGGAGGGCGGGACGCGCTGGGCTCCTCTTCCACCAGTCGTCCCCGCGCCGCTCTGCAAGTCCTTCAGCCATTGCGTCGGCTTGCGATTGCGCTGGGGGCGACCCTCATTCGGCGGCGGGACCTCGGCTATCTCGCGCGGCGGCTCGACGGACGGCGGCTCGGCGGACGGCTCTTGGTTCAAGGGCGGCTCGATGGGTTGTAGAAGGTCTGCGGGGGGCTCTATCGGGAGTGTCTCGGCGCTCGCGGGTGGCTCTTCTGCGGGTGGTGTTGTGGTAGGTGCAGCAGGTGCAGGAGTGACCGTGGAGGGGGTTGTGGGGGTCGTCGTGGACGGCGCAGACGGCTCGTAAGGTGCGTTATCACTGTTCTGCTCCCCCTCGAGCCATGCGCCGGCGTCAGCGACGCCCCAGTCGGCTGGATCAAAGCCAATGTTGCGCTCCACCGAGATTTTGCGCTCTTCGGGCCAGTAGACCCGGTGGGCCTTGCTCTGGGTGTCGTAGCCGATCCAATGCACTGGCTTTGTTTTCGAGTCGAGCTTGGGGGGCTTCTCCAGTAGTACGTGGCAGCGCGCGCCCCAGCGAGGAAGTCGCGCGAGGTCGGGCTTCTTCCCTGTGGCGCGCTCATGTGGGGTTGAGCCAGGCGTGTTCCGGGTGGTCGCGCGGTTGCGTACCCACACCGCGTGCTTCACGGCTTCAGGCCAGAGCGATTTCGGCAGGCGGGCGTCGATGCGGAGTGCGCGCGCGTGCTCGAAGATCGTGCGGAAGAGCCGCTCGGCCTTCCCGTTCTGCTGCGGCGAGTCGTGCGCGGTGAGACGGCGGACAGTACCCTCTGATTCAAGGTACTTGTTGAATTCTCCGCTCATGAACTCTCCGCCGCGATCCGACTGGAACTCTTTGATGGCCTTGACGCCGCGATGCGCCTTCGCCCAGGCGTTGTACGCCTTGTACCGGCTGAAGACCTCGTCCTTGCTGTTGATGAGGTGTACAACAGCTTCGTCCGTGGCGTCGTCGAGGAACGTGACCGCATAGCATTCGTGGTGAATGCCTTGCATGTCCGGCGGTCCCCAGATGTCCGAGTGGACGCGATCCCCGTAGTTCGCTGCGCGAGGACTCGAGCGTTCTTGCAGGAAGGGTGCGCGTGATTGCTTCGCTTGCTGACACACTTCGCAGAACGGTGCCTCTGTCGACGAGAACTCGACGCCTGTCACGACCCCGTCGTCGACCATCTTCTTCAAGGTTGGGGTCGATGCGTGCGCCATGCAGCGGTGGAATTCGGAAAGCGGGAGGGAGGTGCGTGCCACCTGTGGTTACCCCAAATGTAATACAATACCCCAGGAACCTGCAAAACTCGTTTTGCTAATCCCCACCACGTTGTCATTGTACTATATACTCACCAGGGCATTGTAATAGGCCCTAAGTCTAATGAAAGAGTGTTCCCAGCCTTGTAATAAGTCAATATCATAATGAAAAGTGTTCCCAGAGCTGTAATAAGTCACAATTCTAATGAAAGAGCATCCTCAGAGCTGTAATAATTCAATATTCTAATGACAGGAACCTCCCAGCCTTGTAATAAGTCTATATTCTAATCACAGGGGCCTCCCAGAGTTGTAATAAGCCCCGTTTCTAATGACAGCATGTCCCTAGGGCTGTAATAAGTTAATATCTTAATGAAAAAGTGTTCCCTTCTTTGTAATAAGCCTCGTCTCTAATGAAAAAAGTTCCCCAGGCTTGTAATAAGGCCACATCTTAATGAAAAGAGTTCCCATGCCTGTAATAAGTCAATATCCTAATAACAGCAGCCTCCCAGGGCTGTAATAAGTAGATATCCTAATGACAACAGCCCCCCAATCTTGTAATAGGTCCCGTTTGTAATGACAGAACATCCCCAGGGTTGTAATAACTCACGTCAGATACGGTCCAGCTATTAATAGCTTCATATCATGGCTGGCCTGGCCAGCTATTAATACCTGGTATACAGGTACCCTACCCTGCCCTGCAGCCCCCCAATTGGGTGAATAGCAGCTGCCTACAAGATAACTATCAATAGCAGTGGATAGCAGCAGGTTCCTGCAGCTGGAATAGGGTGTAATAGCTGGTTCCCGCACGTAAACGGTAGGG